ATAAAGCCATAGAATGTAAAACAGCAAATTTTAATGAAATCTTTAAATTTGAAAATTATATCAAAGATAAAAACTACAGACCAATAGCTGCACATTTCACCTCCGACGCCTCATATCATAACTATCAAAACAAATAATTTCATCAACCTTTCTGAAAATAACGTTTACTCATGCTGATACAATTCTGAACAACTCCAAAATCAAACAAACACAGTTTAGAGCAAGCTGCTCAATTTATTTTTGATTCCTTTTTAGTTATTCAAGCAAAGAGCTTGAAACATTCATAAAAGCAACTCCATTGCCTGCTTACCTCATTGCTCAACCAAAACTGTTCAAAAATTCCAGATGAATGGGATAGGGGCCGCTTCGCGGCCCAGTAAAATCTAAACACTAGGACTAGGACTTAGGAAATCTCATTTCAAAAACATCACTAATAATACATACTTTCCCCCCCCCCTTCTTTTTTTAAAGGAATTGGATTTTTAACCCCCCAAACTAAAGTGTAGCCACAATAGTTTGATCAGGAGAGCGATCCAAAATCTGGACCCCTTAACACAAATGTTAGGTTTGCATATTTCGCCCTAGAACTTCCTGAGTGAATGGAAGAAATTTTGCGCACTATTATATAATTCGTTTATCTAAAAATAATTCCTTATGAAAAATAACATTTAGTAAACATTAATTTTTATCATATTATTCAATAATAATCGAAAATTTTTCCAATAATTGTAAAAACTGTAGCTTTTACTAGCCTCGACTGCATTTAGCTAAAAGCTCAGTGGTAGGCGAATCTCCTGTTTAAAATACCACTACCAGTTACTTTTAAATGGTAGCTTAGATACATATTAGAAGAAATTATTTGGAATGACTTTAATTACACATGGATAAATGAAAATTATAATACATTTAGTTATAAAAAAATAGTGGTAGAATGAATTTTTGACATTATTTGTTTTATTTTAATTGCTATTATCTTGTCTTGAAATTTGATCTGAGCAACTGGGCCGCGCAGTTTCCCCTATCCCATCCATCATGTTTCTTTTATATTTGTGGTAGAACTTTAAGGTTAGCAGTCAATGTGGCTGCTGTTATTAGGTTTCAAGCACCTTGCTTGAGTAAATAATAATAATGGAAATTATAATAAGCAGGCTTGCTTTAAACCAGTGATTTCCAAAGTGGTCTATATCGATCCCCAGGGGTCGACGACAAACTGTAAGGGGTCCATGTCAAATGAGAAAAAAAAATTGGGAGTCCATAAAATGAAAATGGGGGTCAACGATAGTGGATCTCATGTAAGCAGGTCGTGACTTTTAATTTTGGCATTTCATGAATGGAATAATCAACATACACCGATAGTACCTATTTACTTACATTATACTGCCTTATAATATAAAGACATATGCTATCTATCTACATTTTACATAATTTATAATAGTAGCTATGACGTAAAAATTTTATTATAATTTAAGTTATCAGGATTATTTTTTGATATATGAAACTGAATTATTATAAACTAGTAGTTGCCTGCAGCTCCGCCCGCGTGCGTTTTTATTTTCTCCGCGTGCAAGGTTTTATTTTGTAAAAAAAAATTATTTTTCTGCGGTAAATTGTAGCCTAGCCTGTGTCAACTCTTTAGCTCCAACTTTATCGCGCACAAGATCACGGAGATTTGTTGGTTAGTTTTTACGTTAAAACGTAATGACCGACAATACACAACTGATTTTGTATGGAAACTTATTTCCGCAAATATAATATTAGAAGAGGAGTACGGGTTTTATAGTGCACTATTTTATTCCATTTACATATTAATTTAATTAAATTAGTTTGAATTTAATTAATAAATGCATAAAATTAGCATGTGTTCATTTCTTAAGTTTTTCGCACTACACTACAGTTAGAAATTAAAATCTTTCACAGCGAATAGCACTATACCAGCTGCCAAAAATACATTTGAAGTCGATGAATTTACAAAAAAAATCAATAACAGGTAACATTCTACCCAAAACCGAAAAACATGGCAAGGGGTCTACGAGACAAAAAAGTTCAGGAACCACTGCTTTAAATTATGTGTGGCTTTGAATGTAGATTAATGGTCAACGTGGGCGTCGGATGTAAAGTGAGAAGCTATTGGTCTTAATTTTATGTCTTTTTTGTAATTTTCAAACTTGAATATCTGGTTGAAGTTCACTGCACTGCATTTTAGGGTCTTGTCATAGAAATATAGTACATATAATTTGTAAATATATTGTGATAAGGTCGGGATCTTGAGGTCTTGGTAGATATTTGTATTTCTGATGAACCTTCTAGCACGGATGATTTTTTTGAGTATCTTGTTCTGGCATTGGTTTAGCTATTACTATTCTCTGAACTGCCAACTGCTACGCTTTTTGCCAAAATATTTTACAGAGTGGTGGAGACAATTAAAAACTAAATCTTTCAGAACTTTTTGCCAACATTTTAATGAGAGAGCTGAAACAAAGCGGATTACATGTAAACATTTGAATTATTTACTTCTGGTGGTTAGGAAAATAACTTTAAATAAATACTACAAAACAAAGAAGGCATAAACTTAGCGACTAGAAGACTAGAGAAAAATTTACCAAAAAACATATAAAATTAACAGTCCTGTGTCAAGCAGCGGTGTACCAAGATTCTTAGTAGTGAGCAACACCTGAAAATAATTTTAAATCTTCCAGGGGTGGTTTTTTATTTCGAAAAATATTAAAATAAAGCAAATCGCAACATTACAAATCTGCTTGTCATCAATTATGTCTCATTTTTCAAAAATCAATTACTGTACATATCAAATCATGTTTTATCTTAATTTTTAATTTAAGTCTGTAATCAATATTTCTAATGTTATGTAAAAACGTCAATTTGTCGTATTGAATTTTTTCATTGTTTTATTATTTCCCAAGCAAACGGCTTGATTTTTTATGGCTACCACAATGTTTGCCTAATCAATGTATTTTACCTTACTGTATGTAATTTAATGATGAATGGGATAGGTGCCCAGTTTATTTAAACGAAGCAAGCAAGCAACAAATCTGCTTGTATTCGTTTGAACTTCCTTGACTAAATTTTTGATTAAAATTTTCTGCTCCCGCAAAGAATTGAATCAAATTTATACAACAAAGAATCATACGTTAATACATAAATTATACAACAGTTAGAAAAAGTTTGCAGTCATGTCAGGATTTCACATGATATGTGGTGAATCAGCGTCCTTCGGAGAGGACACTCTATTCTAACATCTCGTCGCATTGAAACTAAACCGTGGTAACTCAAAAAAGCAAGTTTTTCAGGAGAGCGATTTCAAACTTTCCGCGCTAATGCTAATCGTGGCAATGCGATGACGATTTATCTGCTCTCTAAATTAACTTTATGGAACTATAAAGATAACAGGTTGTTTTTCTAAAAGGGTGACTTTTTTTACACAAAATGACTCAAAAATCTTATTTTTCGACTTTTTTGAGTTACAACGATTTAGTTTCAAAGCGACGATCTGTGTTTAGCCCTAGGACTAGTTGGCATTTAAACAGAGGAAGACTTCAGGCTTTTCCTCAGAACTGGGCATCTGAGGTCATAATGGCCTTTTCCCCATTTGTCGTGAAATACTGGACGCATACATGGTGCATACAGGATTTCACATGATATGTGGTGAATCAGCGTCCCTTGGAGAGGACACTCTATTCCAACATAGCCCTAGGACTAGGACTGGGCGATATAAGAAATTTTATATCGTGATGCATCGTCAGTTTTGCATCGCGATATAGCGATGTATCGCGATATAGTATTTTTGAAATTCATTTACTTGTAAAGCGCAGAAAGTCGGATTTCTATCAAAACTTCATACTTAGATTGATTTAAATCAATTTATGAATTTGAAGTATATGTTTTGCTTAAGAAGGATATTAATGTTATATTTTCTAAACATGATCGCGCAAATAACGAAAGATTTCTTAGTTTAAAAATAAATAATAAAAAAATAAGGGAAATTGAAATTTATCAATATATTTACCTAACAAGAAAGAAAGAAAATTTAAAAAATAAGTTCGTTAAAAATTATTTGTATGTTCAAAACAAAGTGCTAATAAATTAAACAAAAAAAAACACTTTTAAAACAACACTATTTTTTATCATTATTATTTCACATAAATAAAGTTAAATTGAATAATTACCGAATTCTGAACGAAAAAACAAAGTAAGGTTTAATTTCTTAAAAATAAAAACAAAAGAATTATGATTTTCGATAATATATTCAACTGACAATATTGATAGAAAATTAAAACGAACATGCAAGATCACGATATATGTTCTCAAAACTGATTCTGATTCTACCGCTCATCAATCAAGGCCGTTTCAATATAACGATACGTACATCGTATTCTCCAGCGCGAGTTGGCATCGGAACGTAAGAGATCTTTGCGTGTCTTGTATCGCTATATCGTATATCGCTATATCGTTCATCTTCTTTACTCGACGGCATAAATCAGATTTCTGATGCATCGCCTTGAACGAAAGTTGCTGCATCGGCCTGCCGATACAGGCGTTAAATCGATACGTCGCGATATATCGATTTATAGCCCAGTCCTACCTAGGACCACTGAAACTAGTAGGCATACAAAACAGTGAAAGACTTCGGTTTAGTCTAGCTGGCCTCATGAGGCCAATAATGGCTTCTTTTTTTTTAAATTCATCCTATAAGATTTCGACCTTGACTTGATATGTATTGTAGCAGAGTACCTGCCCGCGAAGCAGGCATCTCACACCTTCTTCTGATGATAATTGAGATAACATAATAATTGAGACTGACGGCTTTGGCAAAGAAAAGGATTCGAGTGTTGGCTGTGAAGCCTCTGTTAAATTACAGAGATGCCAACTTGCTCCGGACAGCAAATATATATTTTAAAGTGGTAGTTTATCAATTGTGATTCTTGGTTTAATAAATTCAATTTTTATCCACCACTATTTCTAAATAATTCGAAGGCTAATATGATTCACCACTTTATAGTACTTATATCATGTTATACCTTTTAAAAAGCAAGCAAAAATAGTCAAATATTTGTAAAATTTACTTTGTAGTTACTTACCGCACTTTTAATTATTTTGACGTGTCCGGAGCAGTTGGCATTTCTGAAATTAGAGTCAAATCTGGGTACAGTTTAAAACTGCAGAAAAGTTCGGGATTTCCAATACATTTATAACACTTTTTTATTTTTATAAAGTGGTAGAAATTTTAAAACGAAATTAGGTATTTCAACTGATACTTTGAGAGATTCACAGGGAAATATCTAAAGCTTGAACTAAGTTTAAAATAAATGGTATTTTGTACAGCTTCTGAATTAAACTAGATAATTGTTGCATTTTTAAAAGTACTTGTTCTTACCTAATTCTCTTGTGGGGATTTAAAAAACGAAGAAAATTAAGAAAAACAATAACATTTATTTACTGTGCATAAGCTGCAAGTAAATAGAACTCATAAAATAAGTTCAAAATGTAGGGAAAACATGGAAAAATTACAGAACAATGAAAAAAGAAAAATAATAAAAAAAAATTTTTTTTTGTAGGATTTGAGTTTTTGATCCCCAAAATAAAGTGTATCCGTAATAGTTTGATCTGAAGAGTTATCCAACATATGAACCCTTTAATACAAATTTTAAGTTAGCATATTTCGCTCTATAACTTCTTAAGCGAATCGAAGAAATTTTGGGCACTATTATATAATTCGTTTATCTAAATATAATTCCATACTAAAAATAACATTTAGTAAATAATAATTATTTTTTTATTATACATATTATTTAATAAAAATCGAAAGATTTTCCAATCATTGTTAAAGTCATAGCTTTTAATAGTGTACCACTCTATACATCTTCTGTTTTAACTACCACTACCAAATGCTTGAAAATAGTAGCATAGTTGACAAAATGAGAAAAGAATTTTATCTGTAGTTAATTGGCCAGTTTGAATGAAAATAATAATAATTTTAGTTAAAAGAGAATAGTGGTAAACATTTTGGCATTATTTATTTTATTTTCATTACCATTCTCAGAACTGGCAACTGCTACGCTTTTTGCTAAAATATCTCACAGAGCGGTAGAGACAGTTAAAAACTAAATCTTTCAGAACAATCTTATAACGAGAGAGCTGAAACAAAGCGGATTATATGTAAACATTTGAATTATTTTCTTGTGGTGGTTAGAAAAATAACTTTAAATAAAGTTCACAAAACAAAGAATAAGTTACGCAATAAACTTAGCGACTAGAAAAAAAATTTACCGAAAAAACATATAAATGTCCCTGTGTCAGACAGCTGTTTACCAAGATTCTTAGTCGTGAGAAACACCTGAAAATACCTTTAAATCTTCCAGGGGTGGAGCTCTGAACAATGTTCCACTTATTTTTGACAATAACATGAACCACTAAAATTTTAATAGCCCTTATTTCGTAAACAACACGGTTTTTAATCAGCCACTTTTTATTTTGAAAAATGTTAAAATAAAGCAAATCGCTACATGTGCTAGCCATACCCAATTTTATTTTTATGATTTTTGCTCATAGTCAAATCACCCTCAAATACTCACTATTAGCTATGGATACTCCGGAGGAAATGGAAATGATAATCAAGATGCTCCTCGACTCGTAAGTATACCATACCAACAGTAAAATTATTTATTTAAGATATATTCCTTGAGTACCAACAGCCCCCACATAGTTCACCAACAACTACCTCAAATTTACTACTCTTAACTTATGGATACTTCTGAGGAGAGAAAATGACTATTAAGAGGATCCTCGACTCGGGAGTTTATCATTCGCTAGATTACACTAATTCCCTAGTTGTTCCTTGAGCCGCCAATTACTCAATCACCTTCTTATGCCTAACGCCAAAAGTTTTAGTTGCCCAAGGGCTAATTCGTCAGATGCCCGCTTCGTGGGCAGGAACTTCGCAAAACTCTATATCAAATCAAGTCAAGCGAATGTTCCAAACTTTATTTTTGTCATATATGTTTCTTAGTCTAATTTCAGGATGAATGGGAAAAGGAGGCCTCAGACGCCACTACAACGAACGAATGAATGTGCTTCGCTTGAATTTTCTTGACTTAATTTTTTATTAAACTTTTCTGCCGACCTAGTCTACAGAAAAAAGTGATTGATAAAGAGGAAAACAATTAACTCAACATGAAATATTCTTAAATGGTTTGAAACAGTTGAAGCTTTATTAATAAACAATCCATAAATCTGTAAGCTATTGTAAAATTATTTTAAACCCTTTCCGGAACAGCAAATTTTGATCGAAAAGGACATTAGCGACTGTGACCTTAGACAAGTGTTGCCCAAAGTGTGGTACGCGTACCCCCTGGGATACGGGAACAGTTTAGCGGGGGTACGCGTTCTTATGCGAAATATCTTTGCAACAAACAGAAATTTCAATAACTTTTATTTAAAAACAAAGCTAGCCATGAAAATTTACGATTACGTGTTTTTCTATTGGCTATATTTTTTGAAGAGTTAACAGTTAATAATTAATGGTGTCAACAGCCAGTTGTGATTTTTAACTTTTGTACAATTTTTTTATAGTAAAAAATACGTTCATTTTTTCATTAGTGGCACACAGCGTTACAAAAAATTTAGAAAGGGTACACTAAAGTCATAAGCTTGGGAAACACTGTTGTAGGCCATTAAAGACTGTGGTTATTCTTTTTTTCCAGTGGCGCCATCCCCAGAAGCAGAAAGTGCCTAAAACTGTGACTTGACAGCATTTTCCTGCGAACCCCCTGCCTCCGGTAGTCTTGCAGAACAATCCCCAACCCTAATCTCATACATTCTGCCATAATGACCTGAAGGTTTAAAAGCTTCCTCTCATAATTTTGCAGAACATATCCTCCCACCCCAGTCAGAAAGTATGTCTCAAGGAGTTCCCCTGCCAGATTTGCCTCCAAAAGACTATGCTCCGTCCGTCTCAAATAATTCTGAGCTTTCTATATTTTCCTCAGATGCACTGCAAATGATAATCTGCATTAATTCCATGTTGGAGTTAAAATATATTTTGAAAAAGCGGAAAACATTGATATTGTCATTAAACGAATGAAAATTCTCTTTAGCTTTGACCACTTGCAGTTTTGAGCAGACAGCAGGAGAAATCCATAAAAATAGTATTCAGAGAAAGTACATCTGATTTAGTAACTTAAAATATCACCTGTACTAATTAATTAGAATATTCAAGGTATCTGCTACATTTTAGATTTTCAAATTCATGACTTTTTATGATTTTCCATGACTAAATCCATGAATTTTTCATGACTTAACTAAGTTACTATTTTCTCTGACATAAACGAAACAATAAATTTAGAAAAGCATTATATTAACATTAATTGAAATGATAGGTATAACCAAAACTGTTATACTCTGCATCTTCATTTTTATAGATTTCAAATTTAAAAAAACAGAGTAAAGAAAGAGTTGAAACGATAAAATAGCTTAAAAAAAATACAAAAGTAAATATTTCTTTCCCCTTTTTTTTTGCAGAATTATATTCTAAAGATACTTTTCTTGTTCATCAAAAAGGAAAGAAATATTCCTGATTTTTCTGTTCTCACTTCGGAATAAAAAAAATTCACCAACGACTGGTTTTCTTCAACTAGAATTTTAAATTGATAAAATTAAAAATAAAAAAAAAACAATAAAAATTCTTAAATCACAGACGTTTAAAAGATAATTCGCTCTAGAAATGATGTTTTTTCTTTAATTTTTAAAGAACATGATAAAATCATTTTATATTCTAATAAAATATGAGGGAGTGGTGATTTTGTTAGGAATACTGATATTTGGAACAAGATGAAATTGGGGGGGGGGGGATTCCATTTTAAAAAATAGATTTTTCGGAGTGATCCATGATGAAAATCCATGAATTTCCATGATTTTTTTTTAAAAAATAGTAAAAATTATGACATTTCATGACAAATTTTGTTCAATACTGAAATTCATGACTTTCCAGGTGAGCGGATACCCTGCATATTTGACGCCACCCTCTAAAACCATTAAGATTAGCAAGAGGATAATGATTGATTATAATTAAGATGAGGATTAGTGCAAGGAAATCTGATCATAAGACATTACGAATAAAAACAACAATAAATTTAAAACTTCAAATCTTTTATTCCACATGTCATATGTTACAAACAAATAAAATAAGACCTTTGGGATTCCTATTCACATATTATTTACAAACATCACTAGTAATAACATGTTATGTACTTTTTCTTGAAGTATGAATTTCAGGATGAGATTTTTTTATTACAAACATTAGTTAAGAAAATAAAAAATTTAAAAATAAGAAACCGAATAAAGCATTTTTCACACATAAAAGTTGAGAGCTTGACATCTGCAAGACAGAAAAGCATCAGGAATGCCTGCCAATTCAGCACTAAGTTCTTTGTAACTTAGATCCATACAAAAATATTTATGAACAAACACAGCTATGAATTATACATAAACTAGGGTATTTCGTAAAGTAAAATATCTCCTAAACTACAATTTAAATTTTTGCATAGCCTAATATAAATTACTAAACGAGCATTTATAAAGAAGCCATAATAAATATTTTATTTGAAATAAAATATTTATGTTCGAAAGCTAAAATAATTTTAATTAACGCAAGTACATTTAAAGAGGAAAAAAAATTAAGAAATTTAGCTGACGAAAAAGTAATATATTTTATCTGACAAGAACAACTACCTTAAAAAAAATACATTCAGTAACACTGCATTAAACATCAATGCAAGCACTTAACATTTAAATACATTGGTTCCTGCACCATTTATTTTGAGCAAATTAATTTTGCGTTAACAATTTAATTTTCACTTTTAACAGTATGCAAGCCAGTCACGTATCGACTATTTTTCTTCTTTAATCAAAAATAACTACAAATAAAAACTTATTGTATCTTTAAACAAAAACAAAACATAGATACCATGAAATCAAAGAGACTTATTGGGAAAAAAGGAAGTATTATAATTAAATAAAATGAGAAGTGAATTAGAATAAAAAAATATTAATTAAAATTATCAGTAATTATTAAATAATTACATCATTGTAAAATACGATATAAAAACAGAATATGAGCTGACAACCAGGCTAAACCTCAGTTCAAAAAACCTCAGCTAAATTAATTCGATTTGTATAAAAATAACTGATTTATTTATAGTTAAATAATTTTAGATTTAATATAAAATAGTAAAAAATAAATTTAAATAGCTTATTATTTCAGCTGCATTATACTTAGCATTAATAATATGACTATCGTCTTATTACTCACGAGTAAAGAATTGTAGCAATACAGAAAAAAAGTAATAATATAGCTACCTTAATTACTTATCATAGGGGCTAAAACACAAAGAATTTTTAAAAATGTTAAAGTTACAAAATGATTTAGATAATAATTTGTTATTATTATAGCATTAAACAGCAAAAGAATACTTTTTTGAGCAAAATTTAAAGAGAGATTTAGCTATGCATAGTTACATAAAGGCACAGTAACAACAGTACATCAAAATAATATTACAGTTCAGTGAAATGGTTTAAGATAGGGTATGTTTAAAAATTGTTCGATAAGCGTACTTGTATACTAAAAAGATGCAGACTCTACGTCTTTTTCATTTATTTTTCTAACCTGCCTCCAATGAAGTTGACAATATTTTTTAATTTAATATATATATTAACTAAGTGTTATTTTTAAAAGGGTATAAATGAAAAAATCAAAAATTTAAGTGGGAAAAAACAATAAAACTGAATATAATATAACTGAATACAGTTAAAATATACTGAATACAGTTAAAATATATTATGATAACTGAATACAGTTAAAATTTCAAGCCAAAGGTACTGTAATAAATAATGCTTTCTCGCAGAAAACCAGTTTCATCCCACGTTATTATCCCTATTTCATCTCTTGTTGTGGTATTTATTTTTTCATTTATTTTTCTAACTAGTATGCAAACTAAATAATGAAATTATAAGCAAAATTTTTAATTTAAAAAAAATATTAACTGAGATATTTAAAAAGGTATTAAAAAAGGTTTATAAAAAGCTATAAAGAAAAACTTAGAACAAATGTAGAGGGAAAAAATAAAATTTAAATAATACAGGTAAGATTACAATCTAAAGGTACTGAAATAATTAACATAGTTTTTCCTCGACTGAGTGCTTGTGATGCTTGAATATATCTTTCCCGTCTATTATTTTTCCTGCAGGACAATATTTTTATACCTAATTTATCCCAGTTATGTCCCTTGTTGTATATTGAGAAAAAATTTTTATACAGTGGTAAAATCAAATGGTAAACATTCAGTTTGCTGTAACTCTTCTTTAACTACTATTTCAGTCCACACATACTTTCAATAACACATTTCAGACAAGCTTTAAACATTTTCAGATACATAAATGACTAAACATTTCTAAAGATAGAATTTTTTCATTCAACATTTGCCATAATGGTTGACTAATAAAACATTCAGATAAAAGAAACCTCAAATTTAAGAGATGGGTTTATTTTTAACAGGAATTTCATAATAAGATCACTTTTTTATCAACTTTTTTTAATATTCGTAATCCTTTAACATTTGTTTGAAAATAGTAAACAAAAAAAACTACTAATTAATACTAAATTACATGATTCTTTAAAAAAAAAAAAGAAACCTCAAATTTAAGAAATGGATATATTCAACAGGAATTTCATTATATGATAACTTTTTTTTAATCAACATAATAGCTTTTTTTAAATATTCATAATCTTCTAACATTTGTTTGAAAATAAATAAAAATAACTAATTAATGCTAAATTATATTTTCTTTTTTTAAAAAAGGAAACCTCAAATTTAAGAGACAGTTATATTAAACAAGAATTTTAATATAAGATCACATTTTTTATCGACACAATAGCTTTCTTTAAAATCTGTTATCCTCTATCATTTGTTTGAAAATAGTAAATAAAAAAAAACTTATTAATACCAAATTAAATTTTCTTTTTTTTTAAAAAAAGAAACCTCAAATCTAAGAGATATATTCAACAGGAATTTCATGATAAGATCACTTTTTTATATCAACATAATAGCTTTTTTAACAATATTCGTAATCCACTAACATTTGTTTGAAAATAGTTATTAAAAAACTAATTCATACTAAATTATATGATTTAAAAAAAAAAAAGAAACGTCAAATTTAAGGGATAGTTATATTAAACAAGAATTTTATTATAAGATCACTTTTTTATCAACATAATAGCTTTTATGCATTTTTCTGTTTTAAATCTTCTAGCTACATGTGTTTGAAAGTAGTAAATAAAAAAAAAACTCCAATTAATACTAAAATACACGCTTTTCTTTTTCCTAATAAAATTATCACAATAGGGTAAAATCCATTTAAACACACAAATGGCAAAGCCAAATATTCAAAGCACCAATTAAGTCAATCTATTTCTTCAATTTTTTTTAGCAACACTCAATCATTCACACAACAAAAAAACACTTGACAGAATAGGATTTACAAAACATACTTCTTTTACTTAAAAACGCAAAAGTACATAGAAAAAGGAAAATTCTGTATAAAAGTTCATTTTCTGTACAATTTACAGCACTCATAAATATATATCAGTATTCAGCAAGTACATTTTAAGTTAAAAATGCAAGCTTGTTTTAAGCTGTGATCTCGAAGTACGAAGAAGCCCTAGTGGTTAATATTGACTCGAATAATAGTATTGTTGGCACACATCAGACTAAGGCATAATATGTTCATTCAAAGTTAAATTAGAAGAACTCTTTTTTAGGAGGTACAACTTTTTTGCCAGCCCAAAGACTGTTGGGTATTGTAAAGGCATCTATGGTTACAGTTAAATGCTTTGTTTGTATCTCACTAAAGCATTTCCCACCAGAATTGTATCTGAAAAAGAAAACAATATTTAAGGAATTTTCTACTAAGCAGTCAGCAAGTACTCAAGCACTGTAAAGCAGTATAAGGGTGCGTAGCAAAATCTTTCAACAAAAAATAAGCACCTTTTAAATACTTTTTAAGCACTCAAAATATATTTTTAAGCACTACATACATTAACAAAATGCAAAATAATTTTAAAAGACTTTAGATGAGCATGAGAAAATACCTAGTTTCTGACAAAGAACTAGAAAGAATTTTAAATTGTGAGTAAGGGTTTTGGTATAATAATTAATTAAACGGGTGAGTAACATTTAACAACAAATTTAATCAAACAAGTAACAAAGTAACATATCAGACATGACAATTTCATGCCAACACCACCTTGGGCACACCTCATACTACTACTGTAAGAATAAAACAGTTCTGTACGTTTTCCCTCTTAGGGGAAAAGTTTAATAATTCTCCCTTTTTGCGTTTTCTCTGAATCTCACTGAACTCTTTTCTTGATTATATAAGCCGTCATAAAATGATCGAGAGATTTTTTGGTTCGATAGCAGAGGGTGGAAAATGAAGTCTGAAATTGAGAATATCTTGCAAAATGCAACAGAGTTGCATATGAGAAAGCAATAATCTCACCGAAACCTGCTCAGTAGATGCACATACTGACTCGCAAGTATTTCATCAAACATGTAAAATGATTGGTGCTTTCATACGTTATGGACCAACAGTATACCAAAACGAACTGTGAAAACTTTGAATAGAATAATGTGAAAAGCACGCTTTTGCATAATATGTGGTAAAAATCGACATGGTAACAAGAAAAAAGCTTATTTTTGAAAAGGGAAAATTAAGTACTTTTTAAAAACACCTAATGAAAAAGCACCTTTAAGGGGTTTTAAACAACGAAAATCAAAAATAAGCACCTTTAAGCACTTTTTAAAAAAGCTACGAACCATGAGTATTTATTATCATATGGAGAATTGAGTGAATGAAGGTTCTAAGAAACAGCAAAATCTATAAATCTACTACAGTCATTTAAAGCACATGCTTGTTAGCGTTTTTACTCTTTACATTTTAATCAGTACAGAAATACAAACAGAGTTTGTCGAGTTCAATAAGCTAGTGCAAAAACACTACTACTGGGGATCTCTTTACCCAAAAAGTAGATACAAAGCCTTACTAACGAACCTGGTACTGTCACCATTTTTAAGCCCTTAGTGTCAGTGAAGGACAGCTCCAGAGCTCTGTTAGCAGGGTCGGGACTGGGGGTCTAGGGCTGATGTGTAACTTGGGGCTATAATTATTCAAAATTAGCTAAAACTTCCTATATTCAAAAATAGTGAAAATTTGCATGAAATTTAGTCCTAGTTAAGTTGTTTTGTAAAAATTAAAATATGATTCAATTACATTTGAAATTAAAATGCAATTAAGTGTCTATGCCAGCAAAAATATCCTGTATGAATTATGTATGTTAAGAAGTAAGAACTATTAAATAACTAGGATATTTTTAAGTGTTAGCATTTCTGAACGATAGATGTGAGAAATCACAAGTTCCAGAAACGATCTAAACAAGTCTTATTAAAATTATAAGAATTGCCTTTCATACGGAACCATTAAAACAAGACGATACACTAGCAGAAACGAAAGATGCAGGAATCATGGATTGAGGTTCACTTGTACTTATATTAAAATGTAAATTCAAATGTAAACATTTCTCCATTTAATAAATATCGTTTCAAAACTTCAAACACAAAATTTTTGGATTGCTTTTATATTTAGCATTAAAAAAAATTTCAATTAAAATTATATTTTTAACAGTTTCAGATATATTTTAATGTTTTTGTCGTAGGCCATTAAGGCAAGGGGTGTGATTGTTCTTGTTTTCCAGTGGCGCCATCTATGGCCAAGAATTAGACTTCTCCTACATCCATTTGTAGGACGGACATAAATACATCCATTTATTCATTCACAGACTGAAATTTTGACCTGAACCAGAAAACAATCAATCTCTAATTCAATACCCCCAGAGGTATAATTTGTTATGGGAACATGGTGGACTTTGTGACCCAACATATTTAAGGTGCACCAGACACCCATTACTACACAGGGAGTCTTTAACCGTCTGAATTCGAACTCCAGTTCTCAAAAACTTGAGTCCGGCGCCCTGCGAACCAGGCTATTCAGGTCCCAGATATATCTTAATTTTACATGAAATTAAACCGATTGTGAAAAATATTAATAAAGAGAGAAATATTTTTTAATTGTAAACTATGTGAAATATAAATGCTTCAATACGCTAATTAAATGGTTAATATGCTAAGTAAATTGAGTAAAAGACAATTATACTTACTTATAGAACCTGTCCATCATTTTATCTATAATATTCTTTGGCCCAATTCCATACAATTTGGTGACTTCTTCTCTCTCAGGATTATACGTATAAAGAGCTCTAAATTGGCAACCAGCATCACGGAAAAGAATCAGGAAATGCTTGCTTTCTGAACGGTTTATTTCCTGTAATGGACGAAAGAAAACAAATTATATAAAGCATCCTGAGTAGCACAGAGATATTGTTACTTACATGATCAAAATTGATCGACAATGTGAGCACTGAAGGTATTGTATGGCATCCATTGGTTATAAGATTTCAAAATAAATTTTCCCATTATTATTCTTATTTAATTTAATTCAAAAAAAGCTAATTTAGAGATAAAATTCAGGAAGAAAGTTTAAAACACCAAAATAATTTATAATTGCTGGAAAGTCCAAAGGATAAAAATTTAATATATTTTTTTAATTATTTGTAAATAATGATGACTATTTAGTTCACAATATTTCTCTGTTTTCCTGAAAGAGCTAGATCCATTCGTGAAGTAAACATTTTAAACAGATGTTGAGTTGCATATTATTTAAGTCGCTATTGTTGGAAAAAAAGAAATTAAGCCTAAAACAATGTAGAATTTACTTCAAAATTTAGAAAATATTTATTATTTTTTAGTACTGTTTGTAAAAACTATGTAACTTTTATTATCTGCTGAGATAATCACGTATACATTTAATAATTTGAATGGAAAAAATAAAACTTATGGTTAATCAAAATACCATATGTAAATTGAAACAGTTGAGATAAAAAAAAATAGTAGTAGTTTAATTTAGATGTATGTAATTAAAGCAGATAAAGTTTTTAGATTTTAGTGTATTTGTAAAGTTTAACTTTCTTTCTAAGTGTTGGAATACCTGTTTATTAAATCACTTGCTTTATCGAAACAAATATCCTCAGAACAAATGTGGTTTTAAAAAGGAACAAGCACTGTATAAATTAGATTATGCGGTATTCAAAAATTGCAATTTTACATTGTTATACAAAAGATACAACGGGGTTCGTGATTCTTTTTATTTTATTTAAATCAGATTTTTTTTTATTGAAATACACTGTAAGAACTTTGATTTATGACTAAAAAAACTTTATAAATGTTAAGTCAAAATTAAATTAATATTAAAACTATATTATAAGAATATTTTAGAAGCTCTAACTACCTAAAACAATTTTTCATTATAATGCATAGCAACCATTTCATTTTGAAACAAATGCATGATTGAAATCAAAGACTAGATGAAATAGAGAATTTAAAGACTACTTTAACTATTAAAACAAAGTTTCAATTACAAAACCATAATTTTAACTTAAAATTGTGATTTCCTTTTCTTTCTCTTGATTTTTAAAATGACAAAATAAATGTAATAGATTGCGTTTATAAATGCAGTCATTCATTAAAAAATAAATAAATATTTAATCTATATATTTTTATATCAAAATATTCATTTTTAATCCTATATCAAAATAGATAAGCTAAGCTAAAAAAAAATTTTTTAAAAATCTAAGTACTAATTGAAAAAATTTTTTCACAAAATTTCTTTATAGAAAATCTGATAATGTCAAAGATACTGTAAACATATTATGAGAAAAAAATACTTAAATGTTTACTTTAATCTGTACTTTCAATCTCAAGAATCAAAAGCTTTAAAAAAAAAAGTAATTAATTTCGAATGTGTTGGAATTTAACACATACAAAGAAAGAAAGTAATTTCGTTAGCCAAAATTAATTAATGCAGCAATTTATTTCAAATAAATTTTAAAACTAAGAAAAGAAATAATAAAAGTATAAATAATTTAAATCACTGTTGTCTAACTTTTTAAATCAATATATTTATTAAAAAAAATCAGTTGATTTAAATCAATAAACTTTGTAAAATAATATTGAAAAATTACAATTTGAGAAGGTTAATATTTAATACTATAAAAAATAGAATGGAATAAAGAAACAGAAGATTTAACATGAAATAGAAACAATCAGCAGATAATAGACAAATTACCTCCAGCACTTTTTTCTTAGTATCAGAATTCACAGCTCCTGCTAATACAGTGTTAATAGCGTTCATGATTATTCCCCTGTTGGACTTAGCAGTCGGCTTCACAAACAGCTTGGGCCCAGTATAATCTCCTGCAGCTGCTGAAGAACCATTAGATGCAGTATCTGACGCTCCATCACTGGATGGTCCACTGCCCTCCGGTACTTGCAGATTTGGATTCCTGTTTTGTAAAAATCCAGCATTTGGGCTTCTAGATCTGTCTGTACTCCCACTGTTTAAGGAATCCAAGTCAAAGTCATGCATGTCTCGACCTATCATATACATATTAAAAGTGTATTGGTTAAAAAATTTCTATGACATAAAAAATGTCCTTTAGATAAAAATAAGTGTTTCTTGTACAGGGTGCGTAGCCAAATTATTCAACAAAAAATAAGCACCTTTTAAGCACTCAAAAGATATTTTTAAGCTTTTTAAAAAATATTATAATTGGGCAGGGTACGAAAGTTTTTGACAATTGATGGTTTGATCTTGCTTTAACCATCATGTCAAAAAAAAAAACTTTCGCATTGTTTTTGACAATTGTTGAAAATCATGAAATTTTTAATCATATAAAATGAATGGCGTTTTCATAAGCTACGGACTGACAATACGACGAAATAGTTTGGGGTTGAATGAATTGTGAAAACGTTGAATAGAACAATGTGAACTGCGTCTTTTTTTCATAGTTCGCAGCTAAAATCAACCTGGTAAAGGAAAAATCTCATTTTGAAAAAAGGGAAAATGAAGTACTTTTTAAAAACACCCAATGAAAAAAAGCACCTTTAAGGGCTTTTAAAAAACGAAAATAAGCATCTTTAGGTGCTTATTAAAAACGCTATGCACTGTTGTATATTTTTGGCTGAAAATAACAAATTTGCGATTATTTTTTGTACACTGTGCCCCATTTTCTCAAAACTCCGAATGACCGTTTCTCAAAACAACACGCAATAACAATTTACAGACAAAGAAAAGGTGCTGTCATTGACAGTGAATCCATCGCTAACTGGACGACCATTTTGGTGAGAAAAAAAGTATCAAGACTCTAGATATACTAACTCTTAGTTTACAGTTGGTACAACAAATATACCAAAATGACAGGTATAATGACAAAAAATATACCTCCTAAAATGGTATTTGATGCAAAGTATATTTAATAACAGGGTATGTATAAAAATTTTTTTTTTGTAGATTATTATAACGTAAAATATGTTTACCAGGGAATATCTGAGAAATTCTTTTATTTGCAGTATTATCCCCAGAGAGTAAAGCAGCCAAATCACTATTCATTGGAACATATGCAGATTTAGGTCTTTGCTTAACTTCTCTCCTAAAAATACAATAACGAGAATAAGAATTTTTTGTTAGTCTGCTGATTTTTGATAAGCAAATTAGGGTTAGATCTGTATTATTTTTCAAAGCAAGCAACAATAAAAAAAACTTTATGAAGTGCAGTGTCATTGCAAATGCAATCTAAAATGAATAAAAAATATTAACAGGTGAATAGAAAAACAATGCAAATCTAGTGAGTCAATAAATGACAGATTTATTACAAAAAAATTGATTCAGATTGTGCCTTTAGATTCAACTCAGTATTCAGTCACTGTACTCATGCTAAGAAAAAGACGACAATTCTTATTATTGACTAAACTCCTAACTATACTAGGTGTTCTAAAACATATCAACGATTTGCAAAATCAATTTTAAAAATATGAAAAAAAGATAGAAGATGTAAAGTTTGCTCTGTTCTGCATAGGAAAACTTAATATTTATTATCACAAAGTTTCAAAAAAGTTTGTCAACAGATGAAGCCACTAACTGGACTAATTATGAAACAATGTTTTCTCCTGCAACTGAAAATATTTGCATGCAATTGTGTCCTCCTACTGCATTGTATCTGCAAATGGTGGTTATTTTAAAAATAGTTGACAAAATTTGAAAAAATAAATTTTGAAAAAAATAAACTTGGTTTTCTAAGTAGAACAGGACAGACTGTACATTTATATCAGGGCTTGCAGTTCAAAAATTGTGTGACATGTCCAAGATGTGTAAAAAATCTCATCGGGGAAAATTGAAGTATTTCATCATAATCTGCCGATGAAAGAGTATTCAGAACAAAGAATTGAATTAAAACATCACAGCAATGCAGATTGCCCACAGAGACAAGCAATGATTTAAAACTAATTAGACGTTGATCTATCACTGATCTCTCAGCTACAATTGAACATTGGCTGTTNAAGGTCAAGAAAACTGAGATGGGCACAGAAGGCCTTGGCCCTCTATGGGCTGTCGCGCTGCTGAGTTTATTTTTTAAACTTGGTTTTCTAAGTAGAACAGGACAGACTGTACATTTATATCAGGGCTTGCAGTTCAAAAATTGTGTGACATGTCCAGGATGTGTAAAAAATCTCATCGGGGAAAATTTAAGTATTTCATCATTATCTGCTGATGAAAGAGTATTCAGAACAAAGAATTGAATTAAAACATCACTGCAATGCAGATTGCCCACAGAGACAAGCAATGATTTAAAACTAATTAGACGTTGATTTATCACTGATCTCAATACAATTGAACATTGGCTGTTTTGCAGGAAAGAAAGTAAACAAGTTACATATTACTTGCCAGGCATACTTAATAATTCTTATAATTATACTTCTGTGATAATAACAACTATCTGCATTTACGCCATCACTGTTAATTTGTGTTTAATACTTTTTTGTCACTAAAACCTCACACTTCTTTGTTAATACTCCAACAGTAGATCATTGAAGTTAAGCTTTATGGACAGCCAGCAGTCAGTGAGGCCGCTTCACTTGCAGGCCGTCAACCATCCCCAGGGCCGGATTAACCTTTAGGCACACTAGGCACGTGCCTAGGGCCAACGAAAAACTTGGGAGAAAAAAATTTGTTGACAAAAATAATTTAGCTTTAAAAACAACAAGTGTATTTTGCACAAAATTATGAAGATACAAATAAAAATATAATATTTTTCGGTAATAAATTATTTTGCAGAATCTAATATGTTACTTTTTTGCGATTTTTGGATTCAACGAAATATTGTATTATGCTGCCGAATTCCAAACTACGCAAAATGTCGTACTCAATAGACATAAGTGCGAGCGATGCCAAACTATCTTGATCCATTGTTGAACGCAAATAATTTTTTATCAATTTTAATCTGGAGAAAGATCTTTCTCCTTCTGCATTTGATCCAAGAATCGACAAATATATTCTTAATGAATGCAATGTGATTTTCTATTAGTAAACACTTAACCTACCTTGCAAATTTATTTATAAATAATTTCAAAAGATTTACTTTTGACAATGTTAATTTCCTTCACTTAGTTATCATAGTAGTATCATAAGAACTATGAAGCTATTTGTAGTATAAATATTTCTTGTAATTAATCTCACTATCAATTTCACTGTTTTCTTTGCTGGTTTGTTGTTGTATTGTTGACGTGAAGTGTTTACATAGTTATCGATCGAACTAATCATAATGGTATTATCGATATCAACTGCAATATCGGCAGTATGTCGGTATTGCAGATAAAGTTCGATAAACAAATTTGTAAATTAAAATCCATATTAATAAAGATGTTAAAAAAAATATGCAAGAAAATTTTAGCATATATTTTGAAAAGAGGGGAGGTGTGGGGGAAGGAGGGGAGGGCCCAAAAACGGCTATGTCTAGGGCCTACGAAAGGTATAATCCGGCTCTGACCATCCCTATCTGCAGGGGATCAAAATTATGATGGCATTTCTTCAGATTCCTCAGGGATGTTTCACAGTACCTTACGTACTAACACGCCTGGTAAGGCAGGTAAATATTTTGAGTTTTTACGAAAGCCCTGATATTTATCTCCTTCCACTTTTCCTTAATTGATTTTTCAAAGCATTACTTTGGGTCACCTGGCATCTAACAAACAGTGTTGCATCTAAATTTGCTCATTTCCATGTTGTTAAAAAAGAACACACCTCATGCATTACATAGAGTGGACTGGAATCCTACCTTTTTTGTTTAAGAGAACTTAAATGATCCCTAATATCGGCAGCAGGTTTTGTAAAGTTTGAGCTAAGACGGTAATCTCTCTTCATAATAGGATAACTGTTAAGTTAGAACAAATGTAAAACTACATCTTTAAAACATTTTAAGTTAAAGTTCTTACTATAAATTTTTATAACTATAAAAAGCAATGAAAAAATATTAAACCACTTAAAAATATTAAAATGAAAGCTTATGATATCAATTAAAAAATAAATAAAACATTTCATATTTACAAATTGAAAAATAAAATAACAAAAAAAATTGTTTTAAGTTATTTTTAAAATAAATTAAAAAATAATCTAAAATAGAAGTAAGAGACAAAAACAAAATATATATATATATCTGCTATTATCTATAGATTAGTTTTCATTATGAGGGAAAATTATTTTCTTAAACAAATAATCATTTCAAGAAATACCTACTACAAATTATAATTTACATAAATGTCAATTAAAATGTAATAAAAATTTTCCTATAAATATAGATCCCTAATNTAGAAGAAAAAGACAAAAACAAAATATATATATCTGCTATTTTCTATAGATTAGTTTTCATTATGAGGGAAAATTATTTTCTTAAACAAATAATCATTTCAAGAAATACCTACTACAAATTATAATTTACATAAATGTCAATTAAAATGTAATAAAAATTTTCCTATAAATATAGATCCCTAATACTAAATTTTTAAAATACAAATTATGTTAACCAATCTGAAAATTGACATGGATGTTTTCCGTTATAAAAAATTGTCATTCTTTCCAGAGTATAGGTCAATTTGGTTTCTGACATAAATATAAAACAAATTTTAGCTTAGAAAAAACTTTTTACAGATTTCAATTTTTGTTATTATTTTTTAATGTGATACATCTGATTGCTGAGCTTAAGCAGATGGCTTTCTGTCTTGTTAATTGCTTTAATCTGTAACTAAAGCAAATATCAGGTTATTAGGAACAAGCAATCATCAGGAGCTTGATAATTATTCTTTTTTTATAACTTGCAGGACTTATTTAACCATTAAAATACTTTTAAACACTTTATTTTTTGATGCATAACTCTATAAAATCCTGCAGACCTCAATTAAGAATATTAAATGGCAATGTCTGCTACAAGAAGTGCTAATAATTATTTTCAGCATACGTAAAAATTTAAATGGTATACACAAATAGAAGGTACTTAAAAAGTTTGATGTAACGAAGAATACTTATCTGAAAAAAATATAGAACAAAACAATAAAATATGATTTATACAACAAATTCAATTTAAACAGTTACTGCAATAATAAACTATTAAAATAATAATTTATTATTCAAAAAAATTTTTTGACAAGATTTTAAATTAAACTTCAAACTTATCAGCATGCTTTTTCATTTCGATAAATGCCACATACCACTAAAATAGCAATTAGTAAAAAAGAAACTGACAACCACTGTTAATCAAATATACAACAGAAATATAATAACATAATATTAAAATTGTGTTATATAGTTTTAAAAATAAAAGCCATACCAGTCCTAAGACATCCAAACCACAATAAATATTAACCATTCAATGAAAACAAGAAATGAGTTATTTATATTTAGGAAAAATATTAGAATTTTATTAATAGTTATTGTGACATTAATAATGCTTATGATATTAATACCTCAGGTGTTTTCAAATTTATTAATCTAGAGTGACATTTAATCTATATGTAAAATCGTGAAGTTTTTTTAATACATATTACTTAACTAAAAATTGTATCAACTGCATAAAGAATTTAAAGATACTATGCAAAAAATGCTAAATCAATTATTATCACATTTTACATCTTACTAGCAAATCTAAGTCAAAGTTGTTCAAAACCAAGAAGTTTAGTTACAAATAAGTCTAATATTTAAATAAAATAAATATTTAAAATGATCTTCAAGAGTTTTGTAGAATTAGAAACATAACCAAAATCAAAAATATTATTAAGGAAATTTTTTCCGGCATACACTTATATTAAAACATGACTTTTTGAAAAATTCATGTTGAATTAATTTCATGTCTAACTTCTTAGAAATCAATAATATTCATAAGTAAAAATAATTAATGTTCAGATTTTCATTTGAGTGTTTTTAATATTAAATGAGACTAGTAAAGTTTCATATCATCCATTATTCTCAACAACTATCAGCCAAGTTTATAAACACATGCACAAAAAAAAAGTTGATTTACGCAATGCTTAAGTTCCACACTTGGTGTTAAGTATGCGTCCTTTATAAAAGCATGTGTAATTTATATAAAACCTAGCGCAAACATAAAAACAACCCCATTATGAGTTCTATTGATAATATGCTGAAAAGTATTTAAGATTTTTAGAATTTTCTTCCTATCCAACACGAATGAGTTTTCAATGATTCAGGTTCAGTTTATCAATCTTTTATATTAAAATTAAAGCCTTCACAGCTTTAAGTTAAAATATGACTTTTTAAAACAACTAGGCAGGATTCAGTGCATTATTTTTAACAAAAAAGTACACAAATAGTACTCAAACTTTTTATAAGCTTTGTAGAATAGTTTTCCCATTAGTGTCATTTTTTGTAAAATATATATACAGTACAGAACCCGTTATCCGGAAATCAGAAAACCGGAAAACCAAAAAACCGGAACGAAATTCGATAAATTTTCCCGCCATTTTTTTTTTTTTTAAAAATTTGTTTTCTCATAAGATTTTAGGATTTTTCGTTCTTTTTTGAAAGATGTTTACCTTACCATCATTTTGGAAATAATCATTAGTGTATTACTTCATCGTTTTTTCTTCCTTTTAAGATTATTTCCAAATATATTTTTTTTTTAGTTGGGTTTAACAATAAAAAAACGGCTTTTTGTAGCGATTCAGAAAACCGGAAAAATCAGTTAACCGGAATAGCGATGGTCCCGATCATTCCGGATAATCGGTTCCCTACTGTATATAAATATATATATATACATATAAAACAATATACTTTTGCTTATTTTGCTAAAGTAAGTTTCTGTTTAAGAAAAAAATTTTTTGAAAATATCAAATCCAGCATTGTATCAAGAAATCAAACAAAAGGAAAGGATATTCATATTGATTGATATAGAAAAATTTCAACTAAAAAAATATTAGTATTATTAATGCAATATGCGCCATTCCTCTTTCTTAGTAAGCATGTTAGATTGAGTGTTCAGTATCTTAGAGTAAAACTTGCTTTCTAGCAAAATTATTAGTTTTTCCTACAAATTTAAAAATTTCTATACGCTGTTGTGTTGTGTATTAATAATTCTTAAATGCCCCACCTAAAATTTAAAATTTCTTAACAAATAAGAACATATCCTCGTAATTAAAATGGTATATGAAAGGTTTCAAGCGCCTGAACTCACAGGCCTAGGGGCATTTAAGAATTCTGCAAAAGCTTCTCTTTTTTTTAAATAGCGAATAATGCTAAAAAAACTCTTAAACGTAGTTTAAACTTCGATCTGCAGTTTCCCAAATTGAATCTCAAAGACAAACCATTTTTATTTTGTTAAATTGGGGAGAAAGAATTTTAGATTATCTATATAAAAAAAACATTCAGAATGTTTTGTTGTTAATTTTGGAATAAAAATTATCAGGATCAAACGAAGTATCTAAATAGGCGGAATAGGGGGTTATGTGTTAAATATACCTTGTTCTGGGTTTTGCAAACTTCCCAACATCTTTTGAAAGAGAATTGCCTTCTTTTTCAAGTTCTTCTCTCAATTTTCTTTGCCTGTATTGTTCCAGGATTGCTTCTCTTCGCCTCTTTTCTTCATCCCTCTTTCTCTCGTGATACTCTTGTTTGCGCCTTTAATTTCAAAGAAAATTCAATTCTTTGAACTCAATAAATGTAAATCGAATTCCTTAAAATCTCAAAAAAATGTTACATGGTAACAACCTAAAGGGGCCTATTTAGAATGTAGGGGTCTATTTAAAAACATATATGTTACCAAGAAACACTGAAATCTGGAGAATGTAGACTTTCACAGGTGAATGTCAACAATCACATAGTGACTTGTCCTATCCTATTTGACATTAATTTATTTATTGATATTTTAATATATAAAAAGGATAGATTAAGAAAAAGATTCGTACTGGGAATACTGGGCAATGGCATTTGTTCTTAAAAAAAACATCAATGTAGGAAATACAGAGTACGTGTATACTAAACAAAGATTTTTAATCTTAACACGAGGGTCGAGAATATAAGTTATTTTACCTACACCACCTATTCCCTAAATTTGCAGTTACCAAACAGTGTTCTAAATGGGTTCCAACAGTTAGAACTATTTTAAAACAGTTTTTTGTAACATTTTCGAAACCTGTAACGATGTTTAAATCCAATCAATAAACCATTATTTACTTAATGATTTAATTGCCTTTATGATATTATTTAAAATAAAATTTTAATAAAAAAATAGCCCATTTTTTGTTTAAAAAAAATAAATAATTTTTTTAAAAAACAATACATTGAATAAAACATGAAAAAGACATGCATTTATAAAATATTGCATTAGTACTTCCCATCACGCTTTACAATCTAAAATAAAATAATTAGATTGTAGGGAAAGAATTATGTTCCCTACTAGCCATTTTCAATGTTTATAGTTAGTTCTTTTAAGTTTTCATTTAGACGAAAACCATAATTCGACTTATTTCATTCATTTTCAGCTTATGTTTATACACCAAAAACAAATTCATAAAAATATTAAATACAGGACTGAGACTTCAACTGTCTGATATAAAACCTAATTTAAGGTTATTGATGATAAAACGATGAAAAAATGTTGCTGTTATTAAATATTTTAAAAATAAAGTAGTCTGACAGGTTAATACAATTTTTTAAATATACTTCAGTTATAAAGTCGGGTTTCTGCTGAAAGAATGTTGAATAAGAAGAATGTAGTTGAATTCCAGAGCTTTAAAAAATTGAGAACCGTTGCCCTCAATGATTTTTTTTCATAATTTTTCCCATTTGAATATTAAAATATCGAATGAATATTAAAATATCAGTGAACAAATTAATATCAAAACAGATCTAGCATATATCTCAAACATTTACCAAAGCAACTTTAATTTTTTTGACATTTAAAAGTGAAAGTCGACAATTACCAAGTTCGGTCTTTCAGTTGTATATAAACATCATGAGACACTTCCAGTTTTAAAAGAAAATCTACAGTTTACGGAAAACAACTTATTTTTAGTAATTACTATATAATAGAAAGATTTATTTGTTTAGCTTTAACAGTGAAAGTTAAGAAGTAAAAAATATACGCCTAAAAATTACATATTTATAATGAAATCGAAAACAATGTAAAATAATTATAAAAATATATAGAATTAAAAAAAACTATCAAAATATATATAAAAAAAACTTTTAATTATAAAACAGGAAGTGAATAAGACAAAAAAGGATGAACTATCGAAAGACGAACAGGGAAATTTGTAAAAAAAAATTTATAATTCTATTCATTTATCTTTTTTTTTCTTCAGATTTATAACTGACATGGATGGAATTCTGGAATATATTAAAACACTAAAATAACCTAACTACACTTTACCTTATAATTCCCTCCAAACATACCTGTTTTACGATCTTTAACAGATAAAAAAAAAAACTTCAGCAAAGAAATAAATTATGAAAAAAACTAACATAAATATTCATTGAAAATTTATTTTTCAAAAGTAAAATTATCTCTATAAAATAAATCTAAAGACTCCAGAATAAATCACAGGCATCATTCCTTTTAACAGGAATTCTTTGAGAATTTTCTAACAATCTACAGACTTTTGTATAAATTAAATTCTAAATTTCTAATGAGATAAATTAATCATAAATGCGAATTAAGTTATAAAGCAAATAAAAAATTTGTTAGATTAAATGTTAGTACAGACTACGCCAATGTTAACCATAAGAATAAAATGAAACACATGCAAGAACATTTTTACGCTGAAACTAATAACATGCACAACATTACCGCTCTTCGTCTTTCATTCTTGCATATTCTTTCTCCTTTTCAGCCCTCTTTCGTTCATATTCAGCTTTTCTCTGAATAGAAAGGTTCATTATCAATTCCTTCTTTCGAGCCATTTCTGTTTCAGTTTCCTGAATAATTGATAAATAATTTGGTAAGTTTCTATTGTTGTAATTTTTGAAGGTACTTATTGTTAATTAGTCTAACCATGCTTTAATGAACCAGAGATATAATGAACTTTTTTAGTTATTTTGTTCAAAATACTATTTAATTAATGTTATTTCATACACTTATAGTGGACAGTTAAGGAATGGGTAGTTTGTTTATACTGCCGTGCAATTAAAAAAATAAGGTCAGTGCTTCACGATTGATTATGAGATAAATGGTGTGACTACTTTTTTCCTTCCATTGCAAATGCTATGAACGCCAGGGGTGATTGTGAGTCCAACTCAAAAATCCGGAAAATTTCTTGAGTAAAATCATTAAAGACACATAATGTCTTTATAAATGTAAATCATTGATATTTTCAAAACATTGAATTCCAAATAAATTATATACAGCATAATTTAAATGAATGATTATGTATAAGTTTATTTTTATCTCTCATTACATTTATTATTCTACCAGAAAAAATATTTACAAATGAAAGATGCCAAGTATAAATTCTAATTCTTCTTCTTGGGCACTACAGCCTACGACAGGCCAAGACCGTCCCAATAAGTTTCTGCCATCTTGGTCTATTCTGTGCCATGGCATAGTTCTAATATTTTTAAATAAAATATTCAAGAATTTTATACATAAATGCGATCGATGATTTCTTAAAACTTCTGGACCAAAGATTTCCAGAAACTTCCGGAGCGCAGTTAGGGAAAAATCCGGAAATCCGTATTTTTTCCGGAGCACAATCACCTCTGGAACGCTAAAGTAGAATTTAGAAAAACTAATAATTTTTTTTTTTTTTTTTAGCAATATGTAGCCATATAAAAATACCAAAAATCTCAATTTTGAATTTTTTGTGGCTTGCATTGATTTTACAATTGCAAGACAAAATAGTGGTCTCAAATTTCATCTTCTTAGTTATTTAAATAAAGATTAGAAATTTTTTAGTTGATGCAATAAATTCAAAAGAAAATAATTATGAATTTTTGATAAAAAAATGAATAAAACTTAAAATATTAATACATATTATTAGAGAATGTTTCAAATTAGTCATTTTGATATAGTGGACAATTGTTTATAGCCGACTTACTGGTGTATCCACAGACGATTCAACTTTAATAACTTTTTATGTAGAAGGGAAACTTTACCTATTTTCCCAACGTTTAAAATTAAAATATTTAAGATTCAAAACTAAAACCTTTTCTGTCCACATCTGAACTTTTTTACAAACTAATATTTATAAAGGATTAAATGTTCAACCTCTACTGCTATTTTCTTTAAATTTATCCTATATTCCATGCCTTTATAAATCAATCATGGTAAACAATCTTGAAATAAAGATAGAGCATACCTAATTTTGAATATTATTAAGCTCTAAAAATACATAACAATTAACTATGCATTATTAGATCAAAAATAATTTTTTTTAAAATTCATTACACAAATTAAAATTCATTAAAACCAGGGTTGGCAAGATTTTGCCGCAGGTGGAAAAAACCATGGTAAATGTCGGTAAAAACCGTCCTGGCAAAAACAGGTTTTTGCCAAGCAAAGTGGCAAAAAGTGGCAAAAACCTATATTTTCCAAGATGAGNTTCAAAGCTTTATCTTAAATAGAAAAAAATCCTTAGGGATTTAATTAAGATTAAGACACAAAATTATCATCTCAGCGAAAAAGCACTTTTAAGTCAGACTGCTGGGCAAGTTTCTGTATTATAACAATTTAAAATCATTCATAACTTTTTTAAAAATGTAGATAGAGAGATGAATTTTTTTCTGTACATTTGAAATACTTAGAAGTTTTATTATAAGCAATAAAAAAAATTTGGTATTTTTGTCATTTTTTGCATACTAGGACCCCCTTAACATCATTAAATAATATTGAAATTAAATTTAGAGCAGAAATTATTTTTAATTACTTAAAATAATTTTCAGTAAATTATCAAACTAAACTAATAATTAGGCATTTTACAAGTCAAATGCCTAATAATTAGACTAAGCTTAATATTTTACAAACTAATTTAAAAACAGAATAACATTGAATTCAGTTGAAACAACATCTTGCAAAAAATTAAGAGGTAATATATTTTTGAAAAATGTAAGCAATGACTTACTGGATCTGGATGTACCAAATCTGCACCTATAACGAAGCCTAAAGTACTAGTGTCGGCACTCCCTTGCGTTGGCACATTTTTTTGTGATGTAGATTTTGGCACAGTATTAACATTCATATTATTAGCAGCTTTTAAGTTCTTCAGGGATTTAGGCTTTGTTTTCTTTGTCTCACTTTCAATGGGTATATAAAAACCTTGCTTCTTGTCTTTGACCTTCTTCTCTGAATTGATATCAGAAGATTTAGAATCTGGCACTTGTGGTAGCATAACATGTATTTCAGTAGTCTTAGGTTTTGAAGAAGGTTTTTTATAATCCTCCCTAGATATTAAACCTATATTTTCAGAAGATGGCACACGTTCATTTACTTGGTTCTGAATACTCATAGGAGGGTGCCTCTGCCGGTTTTCAGGTCTTATGACTTTGGAATACAACTCCTCGGGAGCTTTGGGTAGAACGGAAGAAGGGGGTAAAGATTTAAAGTTATGAGATTCATACTCTGGTGCCACCCTTCGCAACAGGGAATGTCCGTCATGGTGGTGAGGTGGAGGTAGGAACTTGGCAGCATCTACAGGAGTTATTGGCTTACGAGATTGTGGCTCATTGTTAAACCTCCAATGATTGCTCATTGCAGGAGGCAATGATTCAAAGCTACTATCATTTGAAGGACTGTGCAAGAAGAAATGAGAACCCTCATCAATGCTGTCTTTCATCAGATTCTCAACTTGTTCTTGTTGCAAAGATATTCTAGAAATGTCTGCTTGGAGATCCGTGAGACTAGTAGTTAGATGTTCAATTGAGGTTTGCAGATCTACATTGACGCTGTCACAAATGCTATCTGCATTATAATCAGCAGAATCTAAAGTGTAATCAGGAAGAGAAATTTGTTCAGATATGTCATTGTGATTCAGCCACTTTTTCTGCACATTATCCAAATCATCAGCAATTTCTTGCACAGACATACGCTTAATAAGAGTTGGTGCTTTGGTTTCTGGAATTGAAATCTCCCTAGCAAGGCAATCTGGTTCAGTTACCTCTTTGCCTGTGCCACTATCAGGTGTCCCAGCTTCAGAGGTAGGTGTTTTACTTACAGCTTGTAAAAATGCTGCCTTTCCGAGTTTTTGCCTCTGTTTTTTCCACAACATTTCCATTCGTTTCTTCTTTAGCTCGATTTTTCGCTTCTTTTCCTCCAATTTCATTTTAATGTCACACAGCTGAGCATTTAACATGTTATCACCAGGTTCAGTTGGTGTTTCGTGTCCGGAATCAGTAGGTGGAAAATGAGAGTGTGCAGCATATTGCTGCTGCCAGGTAGTGGTATTTGGCAAAGCAGCAAATGTAGTCCTTTTACCTTCAGTGTCAGTTCTACTACTTTTACTTTTAACACCACTGCTCTCCGATGCTTCTTTTTCATGTTGCATGTACACAATGTTAATTGAGTTACCAATGTTATCTTTTAATTTCGATAGCTGTGCAAAACTTGTTGTGGAAAAATTGTTCTTAGCATCGAAGTCACTCAAGCAAATGCCTGAACTTTGCGAACTAGCTGATTCTGGAACACTACCATCAACATGCTGATTTGAAGTGCTCTTATCACTAGTTAGATTTCTCCACCTACTATTATCAGTAATATTTGTTGCTGAGATAGACCTCAAGGGACCATCAACTCCGGCAAGTTGGTTGTAATAATCTTCTAAACTTTTACGTCCTTTTTTAGGTTCTTGCACTCCGTTTAAGTTGGCTCCATCACTGCGATAACAGTGCAATCCCGTTTCACTACTTTTTCGAAAGCCATAGCCCAAATTTTCCCTGGGTGGTGAATTTTGCTTATAAAAATCAGTTCTAGGTAAATGGGTTGCATTTTTTGGTATATTGCCCTCATCGATGCTACCAATTGAGGGTTGAGATGCATGACTGCTTGCACTCTCTCCTTCAGCTGGAAGCCTTGTTAATTCAGGATTGATATGCCTGAAAATTTGAGAAAAAAATTAGCATAAGTTGAGAAATGAGATTTAATCAAGTATAAGTTTGAAAATCCAATAAAAAAAAGGCTACTGCAAGTTCAGGCAATTACAAATTAAACTCTTTTAAGTCTCAAGCAGATTAAAAAAAAAAATGTAGAGAAAAAGGAAAAAGAATGACAAAATATTTTGCTTTTGATCTGTTTTGATGAAAAAGCCCATTCATAACTAACACTAAGTATTAATATTTTACCGAAACAAATAATTATTAAAAATCTGAAAAGAATAGATTGCCATTAATTAAATTTAATTTAATTATTGTATACTAAAATAGATCACTTATTTTAGTATACAAGATATTTTTAAAATCAATAAACTGCAATCTATAACAAATACTAATCAAGAAAATTCATGTTTGTCTAATAATAAATTTTAAAAAAATTCAGAAAGGCACATGTATTTACAAAGATATAAATAAAACAACAAACAATAAAAAAAAATCTTAATATAATGAGCACCAAAGTAGTTTAACAATGGAAAGCACAATTTTACCTTAAATTATTAGAAACTGATTCCGTTGAATTTACATGTGGTAAATTGGTTGTTTTCCAACCATTAACCATGCCTACAGAATTTGTTCTTTGTAACTGGTTTGGCCCCATTTCTTCTAAAATAAAATAAAAACCATTTAATATGATATCACAAATAAATTTTTGAAATAAATGCTTATAAAATTAAAAAAATTTGAATAAAAATTTGTAAACTACATAACTAACAATTTTTTGCTGTTTGCACATTTTGGACAGTATCTCAAATTTGATCAACAATTTGAAAAATTGAAAAAGAAAATTGGATAGAAATAGAAAAGTGGTCTGCTGTGTTCTACACAGGAAGCCAGAAAAATTTATTATGACTAATGGTTTAGATGTTAAGCGATAGCTTGATAAACTGAAAAGCAAATCAATAAAGTAAACTATAAATAAAGTAAACTTGAAAAATATTCACTATTTTCAAAATAGAATGCAATTACAATTATAAAATAAACAAATATAGTTTCAAAATTGCTAAAATGAATTTAAAGAGCAGTGCTTTATATCTTGAAATAACGTTATTTATCATTTACTAAAAACTGTATAACTAATAAGTTAAATTTTAAGAACTTAAATGTTTTTTTATTATTAAAAATAAAAAGGATTATATTTCTCAATTAATTCATAAAAAAGGTACATTGATAGTAGACTGACCATGCAACATTAAATTTTGCTAATGTAAAAGTTTTTTTTTATTAATACAATTAAAAAATTAAATAAACTTATTTCATTAGCATAAATGATAAATTATTAAATATTACACAGTATTTAAGACAAATTCAAAAAAATATCCTTCAAAAATTTTTTAGATTTTTTTATGCAATCGATTTTTTTTTTCATGAAAGAGAATATTATTCAAATAAAAACTGTGACTCTAAATTTCAACAAAGAATATAGAAGACAGAAAAGAGAATAAAAAAAATTAATTTATACATAATAATCCATAAAATTGAAAAATATTTTTAAAAAATTGATAAATAAAATATATAAAGAAATTTGAATTGTATTTGCATAACAGAAAATAATATTTAATATTTCTATGAAAAATAGAGGGAAAAAATCTATATATAAATAAGTAAAATCTCAACATCATGAATTTTGAAAACACGAATTTTATGATGTCAAAAAAAAAAAAAAAATCTGAATACCCTATGTGTGTGTTCTGGAGAAAAATCTCCAATATAGTTTTTGGTGACCTTAGTTTTGGGATTTTATCACCAAAAAAAATTTTTTTTTACTAATTTCTAAAGAATTTTAAATGCATTCTTCAATCTTGAATAATTTTATGAATCTTTTTTTGAAACCCTAATAAAAAAGATCATCAAAGAGTTTTAAAAGAAGCTGCCAAAATCCTCCATTTCTAAGTTGATGCAAGATGTCTGCATATATAAAGATACACGATTGAAATAGGAAATAGCTTGCTAATTTAATGAATACAAGAGAAACAATTATCTATAAGGAATTAGTTACTGTGGACAATGTTTCAGTACATGGAGATCAGGAGGAATCATAAATATTAAAATATGTGACAGCATCTGAAGACATACCAGTAAAGGAAGAAGACAAAATAGAAGAACAGTAGCAAAACGTAAAAGAGAAAATATTGACAATGTTTAAATTAACAGATACGGTTAGAATTTTGACTGCATCGTTAAAACAAATTAAATTTTGATATCCCGAGTTTCTTATTCACAAAATTTTTAGTTCAAACTAACTGTTTATAGAGATTTTGCATGGCTTTTATTTTAATTCAACTATAATGCTAACTTAGTTTTTTTTAAACCCTTACAAATATTGAACTTAGTGATAGAGTTAAAGGAATATGTAACATTTCATAAAATCTCTCTACTAACACCAAATTCTACTTATAAATCTGCCATTTGCACCATTATAAAATTGAAATGCTATTTTGAAAATAAAATCACTTTAATTCAATTATTTTAAATAAAATAATTTAAACTAAAATTTATGTGTAACATTTCAAGAAAAAAAGCTAACATATAAAATACAATCATTTTATTTGATTAAATCCTTTCACAATAGTTTCACTGATTATTTCAAGATACAAAACTTAAAATAATATAAACAGGAACTAAAACAAAACTTACCTGTAGGTATATTAGATTTCTTTAAAACTTTCTCACATAATCTTTCTTTGCTACCATACGTTTTTGTGCGACTTCTACAATAAAACATTTTATTTAGAATACGCAACACAAAATTCATCTAATTATTTAATTAATAAAATTTTTCAAGTATAGAGTAAAAAAAATTTCAAAAATTAAGCATTTTGAGAATTACCATTCAAAATGGCATTTCAGTGAATTTCGGAATGAAAGCTTTAGAATTCCAAAAGCTATATTTACAAAATGCACCATCCCATCTTAATAAAAGACCTGCCAGAAAAATTTAAAGCTGGTAATAACCTGTTTTAAACCAATAATTGAACATTTTTAGAAAATCATTAGGCATATCCTTCTACTGAACCATTCAGATAATAATAATATTCTGGTGAAATCACTTTTAACCCATTATTACTATGAATATTTATTTTCAAATTAAAACATATTCAAGCCAAACAACTTTTTCTTCTTCTAAAGTATAAAGCATTTTTAAAGCACATTCTGTACTGCTATTTTCCCATTTTTAAACACATGACAGATATAGGTTTTTTCCTAAGACATTTTTTGATGGGAGAAATTAGATTTGACTACAACTAATATACAAATACTTTCTCCCTCTAAAAATGAGATGAAGTACATATTCGGCAAACAGGCTCATTTAGTATAAAATTTAAGCATGTAAACCAGAGCTGATTATGTAAACTTTAGCCAAAAATTAACGATAGTTGTTTCTGCACATAGATTCAGTTACATTTGCTCACTCAAGAAGTAGAAATGAAATTGACTTCAATAGTAATATTAACTCAAAATAGATGAATCGCATAATAAATTAATATACTTAAAACATATTAATAACACACAAAAATAATGTACTTAACAGAGACAGAAGATTATTTTAGTACTAAAGCAAGTAACATCATTATTTTATAATTGTTGTTGAACAGACAACTGAATTTTCAGTTTACAACTACCAATGTTCAGCTCCATATCCTAGTAATTTTGATCCCAATCCAGAAGATAAAGGAACTCCTGGGTCAAGTATTGGGAGAAATTTCCCTTTGCGGAGTACATTCTGATGGAACTAACCTGCATTTGCATTACATGGAGAGGGAAACCATGAAAACCTCCCATGGTTAGCCTCACGGCAAGGGGACTTAACCCATGATCCATCTACCACTGAGGATATTTTACGTCAGCATTGTGGTCGGTGCAGAATTTATATCAACCAGCCATTGCCGGGATTCGTACCAGGTTCACCTCATTAGAAGGCAAGCACTCTAGTCCCTGAGCCACCACGGCTCAAGTAATATCATCAGTACGAAAGGCACGAGATTTTGAATTTGAGATTTCAGTTTTGATGGTGGTACTTATGAGGTACAATCAATAAATAAAAAATCAAAGGCCTTTAAAAAAATTATGTTGTTTATAAAAATGGTGATAGACCTGAAATGTAGTTGATTGTATGACAAAAAGGATTTGCACGTTTTTCCTTCGCTAGGTGGTTCCCTCGTTGTCAAGTAAGCAATCATACAAGGAAAATAACCCTAAAATCATTTAATAAATAAAAGTAAAAGCTTAATACAGTAGGAAACCGATTATCCGGAACGATCGAGACCATCGCTATTCCGGATAACTGATATTTCCGGTTTTCTGAATTGATACGAAAAGCCGGTTTTTTTATTGTTAAACCCAACTAAACAAAAAACAAAAATAGTTGGAAATAATCTTAAAAAGAAGAAAAAACGATGAAGTAATACTCTAATGATTATTTCCAAAATGATGGTAAGGTAAACATCTTTCAAAAAAGAAAGAAAAATCCGAAAATCTTATGAGAAAAAAAAACAAAATTTAAAAAAAAAAAAAAAAATGGCGGGAAAATGTATCGAATTTCTTTCTGGTTTTCTGACTTCCGTATAACAAGCTCTGTACTGTAGAAGGATTGATTTTAAAGCATCACTACCATTTGATTTAATGGAACTAGAGTCATTGATGAGTGGTATTTAAAAACAAAGAAAGTTTCTCATGAAGTCATCCGTTTTGCGAGACAATGCTAAATCGCACACAACAGAAAGTATTTTTCCAAGCAAACCATGAAAAAACAAACATGAAGCCGTTTATTTTATAGTTCAAATCAGTTCTCTTAACACTTTCCATTTTCAATGAGTTGCAAAATGTACTTTGAGAACAAAGGTTTCGAAGGGATGATAAACTTTCAAGGTGTGCTTGTGAAACTTGTGTTTTTATAAGCATAACATTTCTGTAATTAGTGTATCAATGGGACAAATAAGAAAACATTTGTAAAAGCAATGCTTTTGAGTTTCATTAAATAAATTATATGAAATAGCCTCGACTCCTTTATTGACTGTAATACAGTATCATGATTTTATATATTTCATGTGTAAAGTTTATGAGATAGCCTCTGACTCATTTATTGACTGTAATACAGTATCATGATTTTATATATTTCATGTATAAAGTTTATGCGATAGCCTCTGACTCATTTATTGACTGTAATACAGTATCATGATTTTATATATTTCATATATAAAGTTTATGAGATAGCCTCTGACTCATTTATCGACTGTAATACAGTATCATGATTTTATATACTTCATGTATAAAGTTTATGAGATAGCCTCTGACTCCTTTATTGACTGTAATACAGTATCATGATTTTATATATTTCATGCATAAAGATTATGAGATAGCCTCTGACTCATTTATTGGCTGTAACACAGTATCATAATTATCAGTCTTTGTTTACATACTAATTTATTTGTGAACTTATAAGTTGTTGCTCTACAATAGTTAATTCTGTTAATAGATACCTCTTTTATTCTGTAGACACATTTTAAATTACTAAAAAATCAAAGTAACATAAAACATTCTTAACTTATAGCTTTTGTCCAAAATTTCGCAGTAGTCAATTAAGATAAATGGAATTAAAATAAATAAATAAAATAAAAATATAACTCATTAACAAAAGAAATATTCTTATAAGAGAGTAACAGTGTGTATTTGCATAAATATTTTCTAAAGAATATTAGCTACACCAAATATTTACACATAGGTAAAAATAATAAAATAAATAATTCATTAAAAAATATTACAAATGTATTTTTAATGAGTAAAATAATAAGCATTTTCAAAAGAATATTAAAATAAAGTACATTAATTACCCTGGTCTTATGTCAGGTAAACTTGATGTTGACCCACCATAAGAATCAGATCTCAGATTAGGTATAGGATTACAGGTATTCTGATTTTTGTGACTTTGGAAGCTGCCTAGTGATTTTGAATCTGAAAAAAAGACAAATTCAATTCATTTTATGAAATAATCGCCCATAATCAACTTTTACAATGAAAAATTCTCATAAAATTCAAGCTACAATGAAATCAAGAAAACAAAAATAAATTTGAAAATTGACCCAGAAGTGAAATTCTGAACAAAATTTTATGGAATGTCTTCCTATCATGCCCTCCTCTTTTTCTCTTATTAAATATGATTGGGAAAAAAAAACAACTTTTGTAGCTACAAATTCAGTTAAAGGTTCAGTAAAAGCTGAAATCAAGTCTTTGATGGTAAAAGATGGATGCAATTTTCATTTTAATTAAATTATAAATATTCAGTTTACTTTTACAGTGTTTACATAGAAAATAAAGTAAGAGACTTAAAGGAAAACATATTTAAAGCACAGAAATGAAGAGAATTCTAGGAATTAGAATAACTGTCTAAAAATTAACTTCAACAATTAACATAGTTGTCCATTCTTATTTGGGTACCAGGGCATATGGGAATTGATGGTAATGAAAGAGCTGATGAACTCGCAAAACAGGGATCCTCTTTCAATCCAATAGGAACGGAACCCTTCTGTGGAATCAATATGAAGACTACAAAGAAGGCCGTCCTAAAATGGGAAAAACATGAGATGAACAAAGTTTGGCGCAATTCTCCTGGACAAAAACATGCTAAAAGCATGATCAGCAGCCCTTCTGCAAAAATTGCTTCTGAAATTCTTAGGCTCCCAAGATTGAAGATTCAAACAATTGTAGGCTTCATCACTGGGCATTATCATTTCAGGAAACATCTAAATAGATTGGGACTTTTCGAACAAGAACCAATATGTCGGAAATGCCGTGAAGCGGTAGAATCAGCACATCACATCCTATACGAGTGTGATGCCCTCGCCCTTACGCGCCTCACTACCTTAAGCAATCCATATCCTAAAGAGCTTCACCTTAATTCCATTAAGGGACTGTCAGACTATATAAATAAAGTAGGCGACCCGAGACAATGGAACTAGGAAAAATTGGGCTTGGAGCATAGTACAAAATGCAACATGTGTAGAGGTGCCACATATCTGACAAGCTCAAGCAAGAAGAAGAAGAACGTAGTTGTCTGATATGGTGGAGCTTGCCACATTACACTTATTTTTAAACTGGGGAACCACTTGAAGAAGATGGCTGGGGGGAAAAGTTGAAAAGGCGATGCGATTAAAATGCAATAAGAGTCATCGATTTTACTTGAGTGAGTGATATGCACTCAAACAAACAAAAAAAGCACATTAAAAAAAGGATAAAGTAAATTTGTTACATATTTTAAACATTTCAGTTTAAATTTTTACACAGCTCCTTATAACCCACTGTGCTTTTAAAAAGTTTCAAAAGTGTTCTTCAGAGAGCTGTGTTTTCCTTAGAGAGAAATACTAACATATTTATTTTATATCTACAGTTTAAATTTGAAATCTTCATCAAATGAGCTCAAATTTAAAATTACATTCATTACTGAAATATTTAGATTTATTACTTTTTCTGTTATAGAGATTTTTTTTGCAATTTCAGTTAGGAATATTATTATTATTTTTTTTTAAATCTTTATTAAAATATTTATCTTTATCTTTTTTAAAAATATATTTGCAAAATCGAGATATTAAAAAATGGTACATACTTCTGCCTTTTTTTTTAGTGCACATATTGCGGGGATTTTTTTTATTTTATTGCATGTCATGCTGACTCCAATATAGATCTCTCTTACAGATCTACAGAATGTATCACATTGGGAAAAATATTTTTATAATAACTGATAGGTGCACTTCTTTTATAATAAAACATATTCTTCAGAACTTTTATTTATCCCATTGTTCAATTGAAAAAACTTCCTAAACAGATTCACTTTTTAAGAAACTTCAAAAGTGTTTTAAAATTTAACTTCTTCACTGATTTGTTTCAAATTTAAATTCTACATTTAAAATTACATTCATTACAGAATTTTATACTCAGAATAAAGATCTGAATAAATCAGAATAGAATCCGAATCCTTTTAGATCAGAATAAATTTCTGAGGCATCATTGTCTATTACATTTTATGACGTTAACAATATCAGGTTGCTTGTAATTTTGGTAAGTTTTTAAGTTAAATAAGTATCTCCAGCTGCTTGGACTGCACAAAATAGTTTTTTTCTTAATATTTTCCGTTCAAAAGTCAATAATTTATTTTCATGTAACTTGGTTATTGCCTAGCATATAGCAGAGGATAAAATATTTTAAATTAGTACAAATATTTTTTACAATTAATTTTTTATAATAATTATTTTTGTTGCATTATAAATATAAACATTATAATCTAATTTAAAAAAAAAAAATTTACATTTATATTTAATTAAAGAACCAACTTAAATAAATATTTTTAAATGTTCATTTTATTTTATACAGATATCATAATTTATTTAAAAAAGTAAAATCTAATCTAAATTCTTTAAAATTTTCTTTGTTGAGTTATACATATACAAAATAGCCTATATTTCCCCTATAAACCTATAATTTGAAAGATCAACAAGATTTTAACTCTAATTAAAAAATATCTTACTTTCTAATGGTATATGACTAGATTCTCGAGCGTTCTTTCTCTTCTGCGTAACACATGATGCTCTAAAAATGACGAACATATATAACAAATCAGAAATAAACACTAAAACATTTTCTTTTAGAGAGGGATTTTTGTGGAGGTATAAAAGATCTTCTAAAGACAAGAAATTGATTTCTCTAGGTAAACATTCTGAACAAAACCTTCGCACAAGCTGCAAGTTATAAATACTATCTCCAAGGCTCATGGGATCATTCCAACAAATATCTGAAAAATAAAACCTTAATTAAGTACAAATTTATAATTAAGTAACAATATATAGGAAAAATCAGTTAAATTGTAAGGAAAAACATTCTGAAATATTAAATGTAATCATAGAGAATAATCATTTGAGACCTAAAGATTATTTTGTGTAATGCCTTTGTTTTTAAATATAACTTTTTTAAACTTTGCGTGTCTTGAAATTTTTTTTTTTAATCTGGTAATTAGAACAAGTATTTTGCACAGTGGCATACATATGTGCACCCCCTCTCAATATTTATGAATGTGCCCTATCTTAGTATTAACAAACATTTTTTAAATCATAATATAAAACAAAAATACTATATGGAGAGACATTCAGCGATTTGTAATCAATTATTTTAGTTTAGTTTACATGAATTTATATAATTGAACTTAAATTATTTTTATTTTAATTAATAATTGCCATAGAAAGGCAAAATTTACAAACGATAATAAATACTTGAAACGTATGCACTTACCGAATTATCATATTGAAATGAAATTTATTTTAATAACACAAGAAAATAACTAAGTATCTTGCAATAATTATATTTAAAGTTTAGTGCTATATGTAAAATGATTAAAAAATATCTTATAAATGAAAAAAAAAATTACTGCAATTTATATGGTATTACTTTTTCTGGAGCATGCACCCCCACACTGTGGGAGTGTTATTTATGCTACTGATTTTGCAATTAATTAAAAATAGTAATGGTTAGTAAGTTATGTAAGATTACAAGCAAGAAAACTTGGATGATCTCCAAATTTTAACTTAGATTTTATAAAAGCCAATTTTTATAAGTTAGTAAATTCATATAATAAAAATTAAGAGTACAAATCAAGCTTCATGTTATTTTATTACTAACGTTTTCTAGATTATGTTATTGAAAATTAGCATTTAAAAACGGTTGAAAGTATGCATAATTATAAATTAAATGCAACAATTTGTATTTAAATTTTATAAACTAAACACCCTGATATGCATTAAAACAATTTCTGAAATAAACATCTAAACTAGTATTTTCAGTGTTATCAATTACGCAAGCATATTTTGCAGTCACAAGATTTACAAATAATGCATTAATATTCATATTAATGCAACTTGTGTAAAGCTATTCTAATTTATGAATAAAAAATCTCATTAAAATGTAAAACAACTTAAAGTTGCAGCCAAACTCATCAGCTATACTTTGATGCAGGTGAGGACTCACGTGATGTAACCAAATGAAACAAAAAATCAAGGTACAATCATACTATAATTCATCTCAAAGTAGAATAGTTCTTAAAATTATGCAAAATCACAAATAAAATAAAATAAAAAAATTTTACAATTCGAAACATATCCCACTTTAAAAAAAAGGTAGCTATTGTTTTTAACAATTAGAAATAGTTAACAGCCTGTCATGTCTTTTAGATAAAATACAAAGAGCAACAACTTCCAGCAACTAAGATAAATGCACAATTTCCTCATATGTTCATATTAATTATATTGCAAACAACGAAATCAAAACATATTATTGAAAAGCCCTATTTAATTTTACTTTTTTCAACTTTACATTGCCATTTTTAGTTTAATTATTCACACAATGAGATGTGTCTCAGTTTATTATTTACGCATTTACAATTTTAATTATTTACACATTGAGATAGGTTAGAGGGATATCAAGAAATTACATTATTATGAAAAGATTATACACTTAACAGAGTTAATGAAATTTTAACAAAAGAAAAATAATAAATAAATATGATACTGACCTTGCCACCTGAAGAAATTAGGGCAGTAGTAACATATAACAGCTGCTAGGCAACAGCCATCGCTTACATCTAAAATATCTTGTAAAACTGGAATTTTGGGTAACCTACATTGCTATAAAATGTTAAACATAAACCATTAAATTTTTTTTTAAATTACAAAAAATAATGAATTTATTAAAAATATTAAGGATAAAAAAGTTACTTCTTCTGGGCTGCATTCAGACCTAATTTCTTGTTCTAAAGATCTGCAACATTTATTGATCCATAAAACAGCTGCTTCTTCAGAACTTGATGGTATTTCGCTACTAGCATCAACATGGGAAAATTTCCTAAAAGGTGCAATGTGCATTATTAGAATTACTTCCAAGACTCTTAGTATTTTAGTATGCATAATAGTGCTAAGTTTTATTATTCTAGCATAAACTCGTAAAATGCACAAATAGTATGCGACTTTCTCAGGCATATAAAATATTATGTATGCTAAGTAAATTAATTGAAGCATTATTAAAGGCAAAATATAGTATTAAAGTATTACACACACACAAACATACATACATATATACACACACACAGGCACACACATAGTCTAACCTCGTTATGCCAGCTCAAAGGGGTACAGAAAAATTTGATCATGGTAAAAATAGTTCAAGTTATTAGTTCAGATATTTTTAATTTTTTTTAATGAAAATCGCACAACGCACAGGCATTTTCTATTGCCGATATATGTTATATATTTGCATTTTCTAACTTTTCCAACCTTAAATTTCTATTAAGAATATACAAACTAATATTTAATTTCAATAATTTGTTTTATTTTGTACTTAATATTAAATTAATAACTTATATTATGTACTTAATATTAAATTAATAACATCTCATAACAACAACCAATTTACCAACAGCCAATTGTTCTAAAAAATTAAATAAAGTTATAAAGGAAGAAAAAGAAATATAATTCAGATCAAAATTTAAAAAACGCACTTGCTTTCGGCGCTTTTTTAGAGGAAAAAAAATATCTGCAGAAACAAATAACAAATTACTGAAAAGCAATTAATAGGAGTAAACTGATTTAGTACACAAATTAGAGAGGATTACTAATAAAATAATCCGCAATAGCTAAACATTTTGGCTTGTTATTCGCATATGTTTTCAAAAGTGTTCTAACTTATCAACAGTATCTATAAAATGATTCGAATTTTCATTTCACAATACAAAAGAAAGAACAGTTTTAATTGATTTGTAAGTATCCATCAGAAAAGAGTAAACCAAAATATTCGCTGATGAAATTTAAGAAAAATGTATAGTTCCACACGTCAATGCAATTCAGCAATACCAATATTTTAAAGCAACCTATGAGAGTGTGGAAGAAATGACTATCCCTATCAGGGATGAGATTAGCCAAAAGGCAAAAAAGCTGAATTTCCACGATAGTAAATTTTAAGCAAGCGCAACCCTTTAATAATAAATTCCAGACAGTTTAAGGTAATAAATAATGTGTTGACATACAATTGTGTACTAATCTATTATTATATAAATGATTACATTGATACTTAACATTTAGTGAAAATAAAAATTACCAATTGAAAAAATAAAGCTGGAAATTATATTTTTCCTCAGTTCACATAAGAGACAATTATTACTTGAAAAACTACCTGGTTTAGCAAATTAAAACTACTGAGAATATACATTAATATTTCATTTCTTTTAATAAATACTGTTATGTGACTTATAGCAAATATATCAGTAATATTACTTTTTAAATTATATTGGAAAAAAAAACTTTAACAATGGAACGAATCATTATGTTCATATTATAGTCTAATCTAACTAGAGCCCTTTAAAACATATCAATAACAGTGAAGTAGAAATATATAGTAACTCCTTAACATACAAAAATTGCTATTTTAGTTTGAAAAATTACATGACAATCAGCAACTGTTTAGATAATTGTTTTTTATTTGATAAGAATTTTGCTGACGAAACGAAAATCAATGTTTGATATTATAAACCACATGAGCAAATCAAGACACTGAATTTTAAACTTGCGTGAATATGAATCGCTACATAGGTTTTTAAAAAGGCGTAAATATGAATCACAATATCAAATTTTTAAATCTCGTAAATAAGAATCGCAACATACAATATTCAAATTGCGTGAATAAGAATCACAACACGCAAATATGAAAAGCTATGTTTGATATTAAAATCGAGTGAATAAGAATCGAGATATCAGCAGATTCCAGGCTTGGAACCTCTAAAAGGCTTGTCAGAAGCAGCGTCGTTTGAACAACAAAAATCGGATCTATCTGGAGGGCGGGTAAAGAATTCGGAAAAATCTGCTGCAAGTAAAAGAGGGGAAAATAGCTAAAATAAGTCAAAACGAGAAAGGATTGGTAGCTATGTAGTTTGAATTTTCTGTTTCTCTTTGAAAATCGGTGAATTTTCTGAAAAAGCGGAATACTTATTAAAAAAAAAAGTGAAATTTTTAGAAAAATCTAAAATTTTGATTAAAAAAAAAAGCTGAAATTCAAGAAATAAAAGTGAAAAAAGCGGAAATCCGCTAAAAAGCGGAAAAATCTCATCCCTGCCCTATTGAACAAAGGATCGATATGGGTGGTCATTTCTCAGGAAAAACAGGCTTCCATACATTCACACCTGCGAGGCATCCCCATGAGGTGAAAGAAAACTCTATAATTATTAGAATACAAAAGGGCATATGTTGTTTACTATAATGCCTCCTTCTCAACAGTTTAAATTCATACAACTCTTTCATTTGACTCAATTATTAATTTAATACTGAAACTTTTTGGTATTTTTGTAAACTATTTGGTAATTGTACAAAATAACATATCGCATCTCGGCAAGAACAGTGTCATAACTAAGGCCCGGATTTTGATGACATTTGCATTTTTTTGCATTTTTGTCCTTTAGAGCATTTTTTTAGAATTATAGGTCATTTTTTTATATTTTGGGGCGTATTTTGCATTTTAAAGCATTTTTAAGGTTTTTGTTAATTTTTTCCAATTTTTATTATTTTTTGGGCTATTTTCATTACATGAAATGCAAGATTTGTCTTACAATTTTACATTTCATATTGTAACTCTCAAAGAATGTTTCAAAACATTTGCTAGAGCATACATTTATGCTCTAGAATGTTGCAAAATATTTGCTCCTAGTCAGCTTTGACCCCTAAACCAGTAATCACACAATGGGGTACCTGGTTGGATGCATGCTTATAGTTACTACAGTGAAAATTTTAAGATAGTGAAGTCTATCGTCAGTAGTTTTGATTCAGAAGATGCTGCATCAATTAAGATAGCTAAACGTGTTCGCTTCTGATAAAATCGAAGGAAACTTAGCATTTATCAAGTCAAACTTTGCTATTGTGTCCTCGACAATTACAAGCTTGGAGAAACAAGAATTGGAACTTTGCGATGCAATAAATTATATTGATGTAGTGAGTCGAGTGTTGCAAAAAGCAAGGGGAAAAATAGGACAAATTGTAGAGCTAAACTGAACAAAGTTTTGGAGAAGAACACTAACTTCCAAACAATGAAGAAAATCTCTAGGATACTAACAGGTGAAGCAACAACTTTTCAAATTGAAGACGAATTGTCAGTAAGTGAGACCGTCTTTTTCAAGTACGCACCTAGACGTTGAAAGAAGCTTCTCCAGGTATAAAAATTTACCTTCAGACAAGAGACGCTCGTTTACATTTCGAAATATCAAAAAACATTTAATAATCCAATGTAACTCTGATATTTAGTAATATTATTAGATGTAAGTTGTTACGTTCATTAAAGTTTCTATACAAAATAAAAATGTTTTGGTGTCAATATATTTTCCTTTTCTTTTTGTTCTGTTATTTTAGGATATAAAACATATTTTTCAAACTTTAATGAACCTAGAACAAGTATTGCATTGCTTTATAGTTTTTGACATGACTCATAATTTTAAAGAGTAAAACATTATTTTAGTTCGATATTTTTATTTATTTAAGTCATGTCATAAGGCACTTTTAGCGCAATTTTCACATTTTTAGAGCATTTTTTGCACTTTTTAAGGGCATTAATTGAGATTTTTTAGGTCATCAAAATCCGGGCTCTAGTCATAACACTAAAATGCAGAATTGGAGAAAAATCAACTCAAAGAATACTTTTAACATTATTCTGACTTACACACAAAACACACACAACTGTCCTCAACTAGATAAATTGTGAGTCAGAGATGTGACATTTTTTGAGCTTGATGGGGCACTTAATATATATATTTTTTACAGACAAAATCTCAGAATTGCTGTTTTTTTTTACTTGTGTCCCTTTTCTTGCGAGGGTGCGATTATGTTGCAGCAAAAAAGCTAGAAACTACTTATAGATCGTTTGTTAGGTTTAGGACACAATAAAAAAATTTTTTTTATCTTGTCCAAAATTTTTCTGACAATAGCTGGATGTTGTAAAACTCTTATTTAAACAGGAAAAAAAAGTAATAATAGTTTTATTTTTCAAAAAAGATAATAAAAGTAATTTTTAAAGGATTGAAAAAATTGCATTAAACTGCAATACAAAATTAACTAATATTAATTAAAATGGGATTGAAAAGTGTGTCATTGAAAGCAATTTTATTTCTTTTGTCTTAAACTGCTCAAAGCTAGTTATTGTAGTGTAGAGCAGTGCTGTTGAGCAATACTAAACAGCTAAGAAAATAGCTAATGTAACCAGTAAAATAATAATAATAGTAATTATTTACTACAGATCCTATCTAACATTAAAAAAAGAAAGAAAGATCTGCTTTTATTTTAATTATTAAAAACCTTTATGAATAATTAGTACAGTTCAGAACAGCTTATCCGGAAATCAGAAAACCGGAAAACACGATAACCGGAAATTAATTTTCTTAAATTAAAAAAAAAAAAAAAAATTTCCTGCAAGATTTTGAGCCCATTTTGTTATTTAGAGCGTAAGGCATATCGAGTTGGCAAAAGAACTGATTTAGAGGACGGATCAAAAGCGGTTTGTAGACGAATCTCACATAAGCACAAATAGCTTATATATGTTATTAATGTTAATAATAACATTAATAACATATATATAATTTTTATTTCATAATTTCTTTCCTTATTTAAACTTAAGTTTGTTATTATTTATCATTTTTTATTATTTCTAAAACTATTTCAAAATAATTTTTTAGTTTCGCTTTATAAACATTAAAAAAACGGCATTTTGTAGAGATTCAGAAAACCGGAAAAAGCAGTTATCCGGAATCGCGATGGTCCCGATCGTTCCGGATAATCGGTTTTCTACTGTACAAGGTTTTAAGATATTATTTGAGTTAATGCAATAAATCTATACAATTATTTGCATTATATGAAAGGCTTTAACATACATATACTTGTTTGATCATAAAACAAATAAAATTCTTTCTCTTGCATTGGAAACTGCACTACTAATATATAATAAAATAAAAAGATAGATGGAAGGGGAAAAAATAGCAATTAAATCTAAAATAAACTTTCAGAAACTTTTTCAATAATATTAAAAGTTCTCAATGAAACAAACTTACTTTACAACTTCAACTATTTTTTCAGGTATAAGAACTTCTTTGATGTATAGTGACATAATACCATCAATGACCGCCATGTGAGCATTCTAAATATGAAATATAGTACATTGCATGTATTTATATTTAATAAAGATAACACAATGGAAGAAAACATTACGAAATATTAATAAGCTATTTTTTTCTTCAAATTTACACCACCTTTTATATGAATTATAGTTCACAAGTTATCCTAATAATCTGCTAAAAAAAAGGTGAGGAAATATTTTTTTTAAAATTTATCAATTAATTATTCAATAAGAATTTGTAACAAATAATTGTACTAGTAATAAAATTTAGACGTTAGTTTCATAATGATATTAGACTTCTGGTTGATGTGCCCTGCTTTTTGGAGCTGCACAACCTCCAAGTTTGAATCGTCATAATGATATTATGACGTCTTTTAAATAATTTTTATACCAAACTTGATTTAGTTTAAATGATTTGGAGATAACATTTAGCAAACATCAGTGAAACGTTACAAAGTATAAAGCATTACAGGGTTTGAAAATTATATTGTTTAATATTCCTGGGTCATGTAAAAATTATGATCGAGCATGCATTTTTTACCTTCACGTGTTCATTTACCTTTACATGTCAAACTGAGCATACAGTGTATTCATTACAGAAAAAAAATGGGAGATAATTTTTCACCCTTTCTCAAAAACAGGGTGGGATTTCAAAAAGTTAAGTGAGGTTTCTAAAAATTAAAAAAACACAGACTTGAAAAAAAATTATTTCTTTAATTATAATACATTTTTCACATCTTCTAATTGAATATTTTTGCTGCATCATCATATGGAAAATGTTTTATATCTTCTTTTTCCTCGGCTATTATATTTATTTGGCTGAAAAATATCCGTATTTGTTTCGTTTTGACCGCTTCTACCGACATTTGTTTCATTTTCATTTGTCCGTTACGGAGTAGAAAAAGTCGCCTTAACAAGGCATTTGTCCATCTTACATGCATGCAAATTTAAACCTTACCTACAGTGAACACGTGGTTGCAGAGAAATGTGTTCTGAAAGGGGTTCGGGGGGTGTGCTCTGCTGTTTGCACCGGTTCTGAAGAATACTGATAAATAGGGAAGCTAGATAACAAGGACCGATGTTCTGTTAACAAGGACCGAAAATAATGAAAGATCAAGGAAGAAAGGTGAAACGGATTTTATTCAAAATGGCAAAAGACGAAATTTTTTCCAAAATTCGTGCATTTTGAAATTGATTAATAGAGTGCGCAAACTTCTCGCGTTAATCTTTTTTATTGCGAGAAAAGAAAAAAAATAGGAGAGATTAAAATAGAAATGGAAACATTAAAATAGAAATGGAGCTGAAATTCAATCAATAAATCTACACAATAAAATAAAATAAAATAGTAATAACGCACATTAATATCTCTTCAAACTAAAATTGCTCATATATTTTACATACAAAACAGTTGAAAGTTCACAATAAAATCTATCAACCAAATTGCAATTTTTTTGACGACAATGAAAACACAATGAATGAATTAATTCAATAAATGAACAATGGATTAAATGAACAAAAATGAATTAAATAAATGAAAAAAAGAATTTATTTACCAGTCNTCTGCTGTTCGCACCGGTTTTGAACAATACTGATAAATAGGGAAGCTAGATAACAAGGACCGATGTTCAAAATAATGAAAGATCAAGGAAGAAAAGTGAAACGGATTTTATTCAAAATGGCAAAAGACGAAATTTTTTCCAAAAATCGTGCATTTTGAAATTGATTAATAGAGTGCGCGAACTTCTCGCGTTAATCTTTTTTATTGCGAGAAATGAAAAAAAATAAGGAGAGATTCTCGCGTTCTCGCGCTGTAGTGAAAACACTGGGCATATGAATATTTAATAAAAAAATTTGTAAAATACCAATTAACAACTCCCTCAAATTTCAAGAGAAATTTCCAAGACATGTGTTAATATTTTTAATAAGATCTGTTACAAAATTTAATCATGTAAATATGAAATTCATCCTAGGGACAGAGCATAAAAACTATTGAATACAAAAGTTAAAATTGCAATGAAAAAGCAAACACATATTTAAAAATAATTTTTTTTTTTTTTAGACAGCATAATAAACATATTCATGTGCATTAAGATTCAAGTATTAAGATTAAAAAATCTCATTTGGGCATGCATTTTACAGAAGATCATGTCAAAATTTTGAGATTTTTGGAGTTATGAAAGAAACATTAAAATAGAAATGGAGCTGAAATTCAATCAATAAATCTACACAATAAAATAAAATAGTAGTAACGCACATTAATATCTCTTCAAACTAAAATTGCTCATATATTTTACATACAAAACAGTTGAAAGTTCACAATAAAATCTATCAACCAAATTGCAATTTTTTTGACGACAATGAAAACACAATGAATGAATTAATTCAATAAATGAACAATGGATTAAATGAACAAAAATGAATTAAATAAATGAAAAAAAGAATTTATTTACCAGTCTGATAGGAGCCGTCTGAACAAGCATTGTTTCTGTCAAAGGTGCTTCCCGTGACTCGACTAGAGTAACACCTTTCCTAGTTAAAACTTGAACGATTCCTTGATGATCGAGATTGTGATAGTTGGGATCTGCATAGATATTAACTAAGGCTAGGCAATAAAGTTCAGCATTTGCCAGTGAATGTACAATCTTTGGTTTTAATCGGCGAGTGTTCTGCAATGCATAAAAAGTAAATATTCTAGAGGGCATAGAGAAATAAAAAATATAGAGCGCATGCCTCCCAATTGGGTAACCCAGGTTTGAATCCCAGCAATGGCTGGAGTTAAACAGTGGAAGTAATAAACTCAAAATTGGGTTGGCTGTTTAACAACGGTTATAAAATAAAATATATATTCGTCATGATAATAATTTTTTTTTAAAAGTCACGTAGAACGATATATTAGATTCTAGATAAGATAACAACCCTAGCAGCATAATAACTTGGGCCCTTATTGGACAGATAGTCATGAATCTCGGCTCAATAAAGGTTTAAAGGGCCGTTATTTTCCGGTATTGGCCTTATATATAATTGTTTGATTCACAAGTACATTTTGCAGTCACTTTACAACCAATATTGGTCCTATATAGAGTTGTCAGATTCACCTGATATTTTATGTTCATTATTTTGCCAATACAGGCATTTATCTTATTCCTAATTGACTTTATGTTATACAGGAATATAATAAACAAGGACTCATTAAAAAAAAAACATAGTACATTACATTTTATTTAAAAAAAAAAAACTTTAAAAGTTAAGAACTGAACCGGAATGAGAATTAACTAAGCCACCATTGAAAAAAAACAAAAAAAATTTGACAGTTTTTTAATTGTTAAAAATAGAAGCATTTTACATTTAAGTGGATAACTACAGCAGAGTCAGAGTTGAGCAAATTTTTCTGAATCCTTCAAAATTTTTATAAACTCAGACTCCATAACCCTTCAAATTTTTCTGAATCCTTCAAAATTTTTATAAACTCAGACTCCATAACCCTTCAAATTTTTCNACTTTAAAAATTAAGAACTGAACCAAAATGAGAATTAACTAAGCCACCATTAAAAAAAAAAAAAAACAGCATTTGACAGTTTTTTAATTGTTAAAAATAGAAGCATTTTACATTTAAGTGGATAACTACACCAGAGTCAGAGTTGAGCAAATTTTTCTGAATCCTTCAAAAATTTTATTAACTCAGACTCCATAACCCTTAAGATTTGTGTAATAGGTGTTTTAAAATGTCTTTTAATGAGGGGCAGGGTGTAAAAAAAGATAACATTAAAAATGAAAACAATATTCTTTTTAAAAAATATGTAAAATGACTCACATCTTGATCTCTATAGAATGGTTCTATCAAATCTGATGGAATTTCTCCTTCAAATGCCTTCGAAAGTAGCCATAGAATTGAAGCCTTTTCTCGAGCCTAAAAGAAAAACAACAAGAAATAAATAAAAAGAAACGTAAGGTGTTTTCAAACAGCATGTTAATAAATTGTTGTAGTAATTATAAAATTGATATAAAGTGAAACCTTTAAAGTTGACAACCTGTCTAGCTTGCATGTTTATCACTTTGTTAAGGAGAGTTAGTTGATGCTAATCTAAATCCCTTCGTAAGTTGACCAATAATATAAAAAAACTTTTCCCGCACATTTTTTAAACAATAATGTCACGTATTAAAATTTCACTGGCTTGGTGAAATAGCATTAAAAAAAGGCAAACTCAAACTATTAAAGGCTTTTGTAACAAATAGTTTTGTACGTATAACAAATGTTTAAATTAATATAACATTAAAATTTCTAATTGCATATGTGTTCTTGTATATTGATATTTGAAAAAAATTGTTTCGCAGAAAATTGTTTCGAAAAAATCACAGAAAAAGACACCCGATATTTTGTTCTGTATTTCATAACTGTAAATTTTTAAAATGCTAAACATAATATTTTTCACTTCTTTTGTCCTTGAATTAATAATAAAATAATGAAAAAAAGTATGAAAAATATGTTTAGTAAAAATTTGCATCAAAAGGTAAATGAAAGGTAAGGTAAAGGTAAATCAAAAGGTAAGGTATTTTCAAAAAGCAAAATATTACAATGTTTAATTTTTATCATTACTATGATAAATATTTTAACTATTTAATATGCAGTGTTCTCCCTAAGCGTTTTTTTAAAGGCGGACTGCCCTATTTGCCCTTTTTGTAAGAATAAGCCACCATCCTATAAAAACGTAGCCTTTTTATTAATATTCTGTTAAAAAAAATAATTTATTGCTTAAATAATAATTACACACTGGCAAAATTATCTGTGTTTATAGGTTTAATTCTGATTACAATTACAAATACTTATTTTGTCAGAATTATTTTCAACTGGTTAAATTTTTATGGGTTTCTCTTTTTTCGAGAGTATACTAATAAATTTAAAATTTAAACCAATTTTAAATTTTAAAATTATTTTTAAATGCTTTTTATTTTTAAAAAAGGCATCTTTAAATGTTTATTTTCTCATAATTTTCAGCTTAAATTACAGAAAAAATCTTTCAAGTTATTTATCAATAATCATTTCCTTTTTAGTTAACTTTTTTTGAAAATTTTTTTTTACACAGTGACTGTTTTTCAGCATGCCTTTTAATTATTTTTATAGACTATAAATTTTTCTCTTATTTCAATAATGAGTGAAATTGAGTGATGTTTTCCAGACCGTCGCCAATAGCCCATTGTGCAACTCTAGTGTGACGTAAATGAACTATAATAGAACTATAATAACTGAAATGATAATAATAAAAAATAGTGTTTTAAAAGTGTTTTTTTTCTAAAATTTATTTAGCACTTTGTTTTAAACATACAAATAATTTTTAACGTTTCATTTAGAAGTTGAACATTACGATCGAACTTAATAATTATGTAATTATTTATGCATAATAGTACAAGAAAATATTAATTTGTAAAAAACGCTTTAAAAAAAGTTTTTAACGCTTTGTTTTAAGCGTATTATTAATTTCTAAACAAACATTTCAATAAATATTTTAAGTAAGATTTGTACATTGTAGTCAATTTATTTAATATCTTTCTTAAGCAAAACATATATATCTTCAAATTTATAAATTGATTTAAATCAATCTGAGTATGAAATTTTGATAGAAATCTGACTTTCTGCGTTTTACAAGTAAGTGAAATTCAAAAATACTATATCGCGATACATCGCTATATCGCGATCGATGCAAAACTGACGATGCATCACGATATATAATTTCTAATATCACCCAGTCCTAATTTTGATATATTTTTAGGATGTTAAGTGCGTGCCCTTTCGAAACTCAAAGTGACCTTTTCTGTGAGGAAGCGCCCTGCCCTTTTTAATTCATAGGGAGAACTCTGTATATATATATTTAATTTATAAAAACTTAAAGGAGAATACTAAACTTAGATATTACAAATATCATGGAATGTTACTGTTAATATACAGTTGCTTCAAAAACATCGACAAAAAATAAAAATTTAAGGTCAAACTATGGTGGAAGTATAAATAACCTTTTTAATAGTAATTTATAAAATGTCTTAATGACAATTTTTTAAAACATCAAGAATATAAATATACACATTAGCACAGCAGTCTACAATTAAACATAATTTGCATGTACTTAATTTGCAATTCATCATAAGGTAGGCGATGAATCAAATTTATTACCCTTAAACTAACAAACACTTTGCTGAATACTAATTAATAAATAACAGTGAACGAAATACGGGAATATTTAGCCTTTTTTTAAAAAAAAGTTCGTTGCCTTGTATCGTAAAATGAATTATTCACATTTTCTAAGGAATCTTCATAAAATTCTTTCCAAAAAAAAATTTTTTTTCTAAAGAATAAACTCACTTTTTTAAAGAATAATCGATACATATTTTTAATGAATTTTCGGACGAATTTATAGACTACTGTTTTCAACAAAATGCTTATAAACGAAAATCGAGTTTTAAAGACATATAATGTTTTTAATAAAATGCGTGTACAATAGATCCCTGTTTATTTAACATCCAATAGACTAACAGTTTAAAATTCGGAATCTCATGACAATGAGCTGCGCTCTAATCAAATTATCATGTGCGCGTAAATACATCTTCCAAGTGCTTAAAGCATAATGAAATTAATTAATTTTTTTTATTACCTATAACTCAAAATTTTCTTATCATTATTAAATTAAAAAAGTCATAAGTCAATTTTTTCATGTAAAATTATCTCAAATAAAAAAAATCGATTTGAAAAAATTAATTTCAAATACATATTTATTCATAACATATTCATTGTTATTATTATTTTTTTTTAATGTTTGAAAACAAAAGTGTATGACAGAGTTCAGAGTTTTTCTGCTTAAAATATTTTTTAAAACAGAAAAAAAAATGCAATTATAAGTAAAATTTTGACTTTAAGTCAAGGGTATATGTTTATAATAGTTATTATTTTAACCCACTGTGTTATTAACTTTGTTAAACAACGGTTAAAAAATTTCTGACCCCTAAACCTTATTTTTTAAAGATATGGAGAAAAAAAAAGTAATCTGGTAAAAATGTATTAAATATTCTGCTGTTGCAAAAAATTATTTTTCCTTAAAATAATAAAAGCGGAAGGCGTTTAAATAATACATAAAAGATGTTAATGTGTTTATAAAAAGGTCTAATAGACTAAGACTTCCGCAAAACATAAAAAAGATGGAAAGGGGGCAGAAATAAAAAGAAAGAAGACCCCTTTCGTGCGTCGATGTCATGGGAAATGTATTCCCTTAAAGAAGTAAACCCAAGAACATTTTATTTAAAAAAAATGTTTTTGTAGCATTTTTGTTTTAATAAATAAAGGCTCAGGGTTTACAGACAACAATAAAATAAAGTAAATAAATGTTCGAAGTGTATAATTATATGAATTTTTCTTTGAAAAAAAAATTTATAATTTTATGCACTATTAAAATTTACAATAACTAAATAAAATAAATAAAAAAAGAAAGAAAAAACAGGAAAGAAAAAGGCATCAAACTCAGAAGAAAAGAAAACCTCTCTTCCAATTAACAATACCCTACTCACGCAGCTACAATATCCAAAACGTCTAATATAAGCAAAGATACAACTTGTGATTTAAAAATAAACAAAATGCAATGATACGAAACGAAGTATTTATTTCGGCACAAAATATAATTGCAAGCTATTACCATCTTCTTAAGCCTTAACCGCAAACTATCGCCAACAACCATACAAAATGTTTAACCCAAAACCCATGCGTGATTAATAACGAAAATGTCACTCAAAAAATAAAAGAGCGATTCTGGGGGAGGGGGGGGGGTAAGCCTGAACAGAAAGTTTCAAAGATTTGACAATGAAATATTCATTTGCAATTCAATTCATTTATTGTGCGAGCTGAATTTAAGTATAAGACGCTCACGAGACAAAAGGAGATCACCTTGTTAAAACATTTGGCGACCTACTAAATCAGAAGAGACCGAATATTAAATAGTCTTTAAAAATGATTTCATATCTAAGGAACACGAGGCAGTAAAACAATAAGTGGTGGGATGATATTTATACTGCCCTTGAACTTAAAAAATACACCAGTTAGACTTGAATTGAAAGAAAGAAATGATGGGGGCGAGATATTTTTAAGTACCATTGCAAG